TGCGTGCAACTAAAATTAAATTCTGTTGAGAGTTTAAGCCTATACGAGTCACGAATAGGTAATATTGGCCTTGTCGCTGTAACCGGTGCTAAATAGCCGAAATACACTTCTATAGCAAAAAATATACGTGACTATTCGATTTCTTTTGTATGTCGACTTCGTTTCGCCTCGAAATTGTTTTAAAGTGGATTTAGATCAAGCGAACGATCCTGTATGTATACTTATATCTAAACTACGAAGAATTCTGCCTGTTAATAATACAGTTAAACTGGTTTAAGACGAATAATTTTATGGCAAATAAAATATCTCTCTAGACAAGAGTCAGCTCGTGACCGCCTTTAGTGCAACCTAGTCGAAACATCGAGAGAGCTAAATACCTTATTTGCCAAAAAATTAGTCGTGTTAAAACCCGTTGAACTATGTATATTAGTGAAGTGTTCTAAGCGCGATAGTTTCTAATCTAATTTTTCTAAACGCGAAAAAGATCGTCGGGCGTCTAAATATGATGTATTAATGACAAACAAACAACAACAAATAAGACATCTATATAATAGATTAGCTGTGCCTGCGGTTAGACCCGAGAGAAATTTATAGCCTGTATGTTATTCTGATGTATAAGTACGCCATCTGTATAAGTACTGTAAAGTCTCATCAATCTGTTCAGTAGTTTTTGCTTGTAAGAGTAACAAACATCCATCCATACTCATAAACTTTCGCGTTTATAATATTAATGAGATGTCTTATTTTATTCCAACCGTTTCAGAGATTATTAGCAAGGACAGACAGAGATTAGATATTTTTCTATGTAAGTACCATATTTACATTTAAAGAAAACATAAAATAAAAACAAAACATATAAATTTTAATTATTTGCATTTAATCTTACGTCATATATTAAAACACACTAACACACACAATTGTTTAACCTTTTTGGGTAGTGATTTTCTCTGCTTTCTGTAAGCTATTATGTTAACTCATATTTAACAACATATTCTGCGAACATGTCATTCTAATTCTTCCATCCGTTAACAGACAAACAGATTGTCACGTCGTCACGACTTCACGATTTCATTATAACTAAAGACACCATAAATGTATTTATTTTTATTATTATCGGTTTAATTCTTAACTAGCTACTCGGCCCGGCTTCGCCCGGGTGTACATGTATAATATATATATACCTTCCTCTTGAATCACTCTGTTATTTTATTTTATACTATGTAATAATGATGATGAAAAGTATTAACATCAGATAAAAGATGGCGGAGTACAAATACCTTAGAGGATAAAGGTACCTTATAGATAAACCGTAATCCTGAAACCACTGTAAAGAACAAAACATATTATAATGAAGCAAATCTAGGATTCTTGTAGGAAGATGATGGTGTCCTGAAATATGTGATGAAGATGATGATGATAGTAATGATGGTATAAGAAATGATTGCTGCATCGGTGTACAAAATTTCATTAAATTCCGTTCAGTAGTTATTGTGTATTTATATAATATCCAATTTGCCAAACTGAAGAGGAAACGCATACACATCAATGTGGGAGTAGTCCACTCATGTATAAACGAATTATCTCCTTTGGAAACTTTACACTCTATCCTGAGGAGATAAAAACCATTGCTCCTAAGAATATCCTTCAATTCTTGTTCTTGACGGGTCTAGGTAGTGAAATCTGAAAAGGGGCGAGCACAATAGATTCATGTAGGTCGCAGTGCTACAAATCCAAACACCTGACAATAACCCAAACCCCCCAATTAATAAGAAAATCCAACATCCAAATATTTATCCTTAGATACTTTTGTGTTATTAGTACAGGATTATGAACCTTCTGATTCTACTAAGTAGGTTAATATTTGAAATGTAATAGCAATACGTATAATTAAATTATTATTGAAATTATAGTGGTTGAACCGTGAAAGTAGAACACAGAGATGGTAGCCACTTTCCCTTTACAAATATAAGTTGAGATACCGCAAAACGATTGTTTTAATAATTATATACCGTCACGCCTAATGTCTCTGATGGGGTAGCCAGATCCAGTTGTCTCAGAATCTTTTTGAGTATATTTTTCTCTTATGGATGATAATGGTATGGTGCACCCGCCTGCGCTAGGCCCGTGGATGATGATAAGGTGAGCATGAGGTCAGGTCAGTAAGCGCATCGAGGTAAATTCATCATGAATTTATAACGATGGTTTCCAGGGGGAACCTGACAGTGAAGGTGAAGGTCAACCTGACAACCCCTTCCCTTCCGCTGAGTATATTTGAATCCACAGATCAAAAATTTTAAAAGTAAGAAGGAAGCAAGGCTTTATTTTGTTTTACCACAGAGAATATAATATTACATATTTATACTGTTATATTTGAATGAACGTGATCATTTTTAAGATAAATTTGCTATCGTCGTTTCCATCACCAGAGCGCCACTCATGAATATACATTAACACAGATAGTTAATTGTACCTATTAGCCAGATTTGACCTCACGACCTTTTAGTTCTAACTCAGAATAAAAACTGCTAGGACACGACGCTCAATAATTATTAATTTAATTGAAATTATCGACCATCGAAGAATGGTATTCGGAAGTTGTCTAAAATAATTAGGAATATATAGTTTCATACACTTTTTTTATTATTTTCCGCGAGTCAAGGTACGCTGGTTTGTGTTCTATATTTATACTAATAATGCTTGTTATATTTGGACTATAATATGTCTTACTATTTTATGTAGGTACTGAGATTCTGTAAAATATCACATTGAAAAACCTGATCACTGTCTGCATATTAAAGACTAGCTGACTAGACGTTCAGTAGTTTTTACTTGAAAGAGTAACAAACATTCATCCATCGTTCTATCCATTCATATTCACAAACTTTTGCGTTTATAATATTAGTAAGATATATGATAAAAACTATTAGGTATTTATAAACTTTATCGGATAGAAAGGGTTTTGATTGTTACAATTTTACAGTAATATATATTATGCATTCTGACAGGCTTCAAATTTCACGCGGATGAACCCCCGGACAACTATTAATAAATATAATTACAATATTATTGTTTTTATAATAACAAGTTCTTTAAATGATTAGGTTACTTTCTTTTTTACTATCAAACTTTGTAATATTCCTACATTAAATAACACCGTGTAGAGAGAGAGCTGGTCCAACCTGTAGTTATTTAGGACTTTTGAATACAACCTTAGAAATTTACGATTCATAATCAATTAAACATCAGTTATTCACTTCCTCTGTTTGCTACATTAATCTATTACTAGGCCGGAAAATATATAAGTTATATAACAAATCCGGTAGCTGGCCAGAGTACGAAACATGGGTATGAACTATTCCAATGACACACGCCACAACAAATTAATTTTACCTATTTAATTGAAATATCAGGCAAGCCAATGGGACACCTGATGGTAAATGATGACCGTTTCCTATAAACATGAACAGTTGAACAGCATTACGTCTTCGCGTAATGGCGTCTTCGTCATACCAGTAATGCGTTGGAATTCGGAAGGACTAAATAATATATTGACTTTTATACTGTTATTTTATTGTCTTATTTCATCTTTCAAACTCCACACAGCCTTCAAACCAGGCTGATTCGCAGTTAAAATATAAAGGTACACAAGCCGATAACTTATTCTACTTCTTTTTTTTAGACTAATGTTGTTGGCCGCAGCTGGCTTTTACAGCTTCACCCAACGATAGGGGACGAGGTCAGATGGCATTCCCAACCCGCGGAAGGACTTAAGGAACGGCTGAAGGTCAACTCCTGCATCGGATACGACTGGTGCCTTCAGTTGCTAGGATTTCGAACCTCAGCTCAGGTCGTCGATCTCCGTTTGAATTGGATGGGCGATCGGAAGGGCAGTGAATTCACACAATACTTTATAAATTTCTAGGCAATGTCTGTCTAAATGTATAACGGGCATCGTAACAATCCAATGTCTGCTATATCACTAGAGTTTGAATATCACTTTGATCGTAGATCATCAGCATGTTTACCATTCCAGTTGTAAAAAAAAAATACAAAATGGACACTAAGAATTTGTTCATAAACTCTCATTCATAATAATAATACACCTTCCATTGTCTATGTCAGCTTTACATGAAATTACTCACACGTATTTTCATAAACAATCAGAATTTAGCCTCCCTCACATGTTATGCCACAGTACGTTAGTACATACCTTCTGACATAATCACAATTGAAACAAAATTAATATTTATTTATTTAGTATCTAAAGTATTGCTAACTTTTTATGTACTGGTTGAATATGCAAAAATGAAACCGTTAGGTTGCATTTTATACAGCTCGCCCATCAATTATTTGTAAGTAGTTTTTGCAATTTATTCATTAAACAAGGAATAAATTCTTCCCTCTTTGTAATATTAGTTTAGATAATAAACCTAAAATATATGATTACTTATCTGCATATATTAAAACCATATTTTAAATATAATATATTAACCGCATTTAAAAATATTAATTATAATAATATCCAGAGTAATGCAGACTATAAATAAATTCCAATATCGTCTACATAACTTCACATATTTCGATAAAGACCTACCCTTATGTTTTGCAATTGGCAATATGTATTTAAAAAAAAATAGAAATCTATTCTTTAGTTTTTTATAATTTTTTTTTAACATTACGAGACGATAATGTTATTGGATATTTAAAAATGAATTACAAAACAATAAACTAATGATTAAATATTTAGATTAAAGTTTATTTACTACAAACAAAAATCATGAAAGATTTCATTTTTTGTTTGTATTTTTGTTTCTACACAATATTAATTTAGTTTAAAAAGTAGAACAACTCTCTAAAAAAAGTTATTACAAATCAATATATGTATAATATTTAGCATCCGATCTCTTTGTATAACAAACAGTCATAAACGAGTCCGATTTCCTAAACTGCATTTCTAAAATGCCTAACCTTGGAAAACAACTGAAATGTTTGTAACTTACATTCATTTTCTTTGGCTTGCAATAATCCAATATTCCTGTAAGTGCACTGTACACAATAATAGTTTTTTTTTATTGGGTATTATTAACCCGTTTGGAAAGTATCGTATTTGAGACCGGTTTGAGTGAACAGGCGCGTGGCTCCAGCGCGCCAATGCATAGTCGACTGTTGTCGAAAAAAATTACTTTCCCAAACGACCGCGATACTTGCCGCTATAAGTGGTGTCTACAGGAGATAGTATACGTACTATAGTATAGATTAAGTACTATTTAACCCTAGCGTGCGGGGGGGAAGGGGATTGTTAGTAATGTGGACTAATGACCCCATTGCTAGCAATGTACCATGTCAGATCGACCTCCACGCGGTTCCCTCTGAAAACCATCGTGATAAATTCTTGGTGAATTTGTTACGATGGCCTAACTGACCTGATCTCATGCTCATTTTATCATCCCCCACTGGTGCCCCGCCAGCGCAAACCTTTAGCGCAGGCAGGTGCACCATTCCATTATCATCCATAGAAAAAAAACCCTAGCGTGCGGGGGGAAAGGGGATGATCCTATTGCTAGCATTGTACCATGTCAGATTGACCGCCACACGGTTCCTCCTGGAGATCATCATGATAAATTCATATTCATTAAATGACCTCATTTGGTCATCCTTCGCTGCGCTAGCGTAGGATGATAAAATACCGTTAGCTTAAGATAGTGCACCACTCTATAATCGTTTCTGAAAAAAAACCCTAGCTGTCGGGAAAGGGATTGTTTGTAGTGTGGACTAATAACGCCTTAGCTAGTATAATGTACCATGTCAAATTGTCACGCGGTTCCCCCTGGAAATTGCAATATGTCAAGTTAGCCATACTGACCTGACTTAATTTTGTGATCCTCTACTGGTGCCCCGCTAGAGTAAACAATTAGCGCATTCGGGTTCATCATTCCATTGTCACCTATAAAAAACCTTTGCAAGCTGTATGTGGTGCATTCAATGCGGTATTGACCAGTCGCGTGGCATGCGAGAAATGACCATAAACTTTCGAGAAAATTACACGGCTACGAACATCATGGCGGAATGCTATATTAGACGAAGTTTCCACTTCAATTCTCGGTCGGATCTATTTAGGAAAGTTTGTGTTGTTATATTTTCAAAGAGAAGGGCAGGCGATGTGTTATTACCACACCGTTTGGACGGTAGCCTCGCCATTTTTTGGATGTGCATTATGCACATCCAATTATCATAAAGAATTTGATATTGACGTGGGTTCCAAGTACATTTTCGTCCAAATCAGATGTTAGACTTTTATTACATATATAATAAGAATATGCTTATTTCGCTACTAGTGGAAGAACTAGAGAAAACATAAATAAAATTTAGAGAATTTGGTTGATTATTAGATAGCTACGTAACCATCTAGCGGCTAGACGGATTGGAGCGAAATTTACCAATCCCACATAGATAGTTTTACCTTTTTAATGTATTGATATACCTACCATATAATATGAAAAGAAACTGGATTAATACCTGATAAAAACTCAATTTTTTCGGACTACTCTAATACTGTTGGCCGGTGGCGGCCTGTAGATTCACTGGATGATACGGGACGAGTGCAGATGGCACTCCAAACCCGCGGAAGGACTTATGGAGCGGCTGAAGTCCAACTGCCGCCTGAAGGATACGACATAGGCTGAGGGCACCACTATGGGTTCGAATCTCGGCTCATGCCATCGTAAACGAGATTCAAACGAGAATCGAAATTACAATGATTTGATGATCATTGTAACTTGTGATGACGTTTGAATTGGACGGGGAATCCATACGAGGGGATAAAAAGTCCACACAAAACATCAAGTACCTACATACGTATTACCAAACGCCTATAACCCAATTATTGTGAAGTGTAATGAGATTAGTTGAATGTAATATTATCTGCACGATTGCTTTATTACGAATTTATAGCTGCGTTGCATTATAGGTTATTTTTTTTATATAATAATATATTTTTATATATTCAATTAATATATTAATATATACTACGCGGATTCTCTTCTTTGTGCCGTCTTCTACTGGAGGTTGGCTGTCTTAATTTTATCAACCGTTGTAAATACATCACGATCGGGCTGTTTTTTATTTGAATAAAAGCAATTGTCCGAGTTACTGCAATTATAGATGTTGTTAGTAATGTGGATACTCAAGTTCTGGTAAAACCATCACGATGGGCAAACTAACCTGACTTCACACAATCATCCTGTGCCAGTGTAAACTGTTAGCGGGTGTATCATTCCATTATTTTCCATAAGAAAAAAAACCCCATCTGGGATAACTATTGTGAAGGTATTATTACTAACGATAAAGGTCACCTTTATCGTTATACTACCCTACTTTGTATGTTTTGAGTTCCAATTATTATTATTTAAAAATAAAACACTAATAATTATGAATATTATATATTCCATGAACAGTGGCACAATTGTAAGATATATGAAATCGAATAGCGTACAAATTATTTGCACCGTACAAATAATATGATAAATGCTGGTGCTTGCCTGCATTCCTATACCTTGACCTATATTAAAATAGAAACAAAAGTAACCATGTAAAAAATATTAAACGTTGTAATAAGTAATTGAAAAATATTGGATGAACTTGTTTACAGTGCGGAAAACAGTAAAATATCGACAATTATACAAGATTTATACTTTATATATATTTATACAGAATTCCTGCATATCTTTACGCTTTAATAGGTGACCTTTTAATGCCAACATTTTTTCTGAACTGCAATGAAAGTCATACTGTATATTTTATGAGACATATTTCATTTTAGTTAGGTATTAAAAAAAAATGATTACTTTGTAAACATATATACCGTCCGATATACATACACATACTTTGTTACATCCATATATGTTTATTATATTCTTACCAAAGTTATAATAAAGTTTACTCCCACCCCCATTTTTTAAATCTGGTCACAAAATGTAAAAACACCTCGTAAGAGAGAGAGGGATATTAGATTTCATGTTTTTTTACACGAACTTTGTGACGACTCTTCCTCCTGCTTTGTGACTGTCATACTTTGTCGAACCCCTTCCATATTACCGTACAGCGCAATTTATGTATAACCCTTAACTAGTATTATAGTAGTGATGATGCAATGCCTAATACAGTTTACATTGGTTACCTTTGATTCAAAACGAGTACATTATAAAAGGATACGATTACGGACAGTAAAAGAAAAGTATTGTTAAATGCGTATATATATTTGCAAAAGTACTTAAAAGATACTTAGATAAATTTTTTGGTTCAGCAGTTGTGTGTATGAAATGTATAATTTATATTTAATTTCACTATGACCATTTATATCATAATTATAATAATTTCTGTGAGAACTATACGATTGTATAGTCATATAACTTAATATATATACTAATTATGTATGCGATTGTCACGTAACTGAGGACTGGGCCGATATGGATGAAATGTTATGGTTTAATGGGATAATTTAAATATACAATCCTGAATATGATAACTTCTTCAATTTTACTACTGAGTGTAATTTCTAAAATTTCATAAACACTGGCATTCGGTGTACCCTTTAAACCCATAATTAATTATGAAAAATGGGAAAAGATATATTTCATATTTTATACCATAAGGTGCAAATTGGCCTACGTCATTGCAGATGTTAACTTATCTCCTATGAACACCTGCAACGCCAGAGTGGTGATATACCGGCCTTCTAAGGAACGATTAAACTCTTTTCTTGAAGTTTCAATACCTAAAATGTTAGAACATGAAATAATATATATAAAATTTCACCGCCTTATTATTTCTGATCGACGGTTGGCTGGTAGAGAATGCCATCAGGCATCAAGTCCGCCACGCAATTTTGTGTGCAAAAGAAAAAATAAATATAAATCTTCTAAAGATATACATTACTGAATTCCATTAAAATTAGACACGGCAAAGTGAATCGAGAGAGTTAGGTAAGAAGACATAAGGGTTTAAAATATGCGTCAAGCATGAACTTAAGTTGTAACGGAATAACTACTGAACTCAAAAAAATAAGTGAATATATTGGCGAAGATTTAACGCCTTGTGACTGGTTGCCACTCATCGTCTTCCGCATCACGAGCTGTGGACAAGAGAAGGAAACATTACTTAAAGAAATACTGAGGTATGTTTTGTGCAAAACCATCTGAGTTGGTCCCGCTGTCACACATGTATGTATATATATTACTACAATCCAGAAGCTTCTTTTGTAAGCTGTGTTTTAGTTGAATGGCGAGATACAGCTTTGAAATTACGGGGTTGCACTGCGATCTACATAGATCAATTGTGGTCGACCTTTTTCAGAGCTCGCTACCTAGATCCGTCAGGGACAAGAATTGAAGGATATTCTTAGGAGCAATAGTTTTTATCTCCACAAGATACGATCGTACACTTTCCAGAGGAGATATTTTATTTGTGCATGAGTGGGCTACAACCACGTAGGATGTGTAGTGACGTTTCCTTTTCAGATTTGCAAAATATGTAGATTTTTGTTGTCCATGGGCCTAAGTTTGCAATTTGTTCATTCAATTTGCAGTGTCCAGTGAGGGCCCTAGTCTGCATTCTTCAGATACAGATTATGAGTGTTGGTGATAAAACTCCGTGATGCCATTCATGTACCTATAAGTTGCCATAAGAAGAATATAACTTTATTATCAAGAAGTTTAATTTCTATTATAAAAACTTACGTTTGTCGTCTCGTCGCGGGGGCGGGGGACGTCTCTCGCGATCGTCGCGGCGTGGTCCGTCCCTACAACCAGACAAATATGTTATTTATGTCAAGCAATTTATAAATATTTGACGGCTTCGGTGGTCTAGAGGTTAGCATACCGCCTTTTTACCAGTGGTCGCGGGTTCTCTTCTTCACATGTTACAAACATTTGTATTCCTGAGTATGATTGTTTGTTTTGGCCTCGTTGTTTTCAACATATAGATATAAATATTGTGTATGTATTAATAAAAAAAAATATTTCTATCAGTTGTCTAGTAACCATATCTCAAGCTCTGTTGTCTTGTACTGGCTAAGTATGGCTTGTGTTATCGGTAGTTGACTACTGATATATTTACACAGATATTTTATTTTGTAAATACATACATAATTATAAAATACCCAGACCGATACAAACATAGACACTCATGGATACAAATGTTTGTACCGTGCTAGGAATCAAACCCGCGACCATCGCAACTATGGCGGCGCGGTAAACTGTTAAACCATAAAGGCAGTGAAGTATCAGCCATTGCAGGTACATAAAAATAATATGACACTAACCGATCATCCCTCCTTGGTGGTTCCCGGTCCCTATCGTCTCTTCTGGGAGGGAAACGTTCGCGGTCACGGTCACGGAAGTCACGTTCACGGTCGCCACGGTCACGGTCACGGTCACGGTCACGGGGCGCGTCCCTGTAGCGGTCGTCACGCGGCGCGTCTTTTGACCGCCAAGTTGCTGAACGCTCCTGCTGTATCAAATGATTAGTATTCCTGTTATTTTTTTTACATTTTTAAGTAGTTTTTTTTTTATTTTAGTTTTCGCAGCTAAAACAAACTTGTATTTTAGTTTTACATATGTTAAAACAATATAAAAGTGTATACATCTATTTAAATTTTTAGTTACGTATTGTTTTCCTAATAAAATCATTATTGCCTTGCTTTTATCCCATTATTTGAGGTCGGCGCAGTAACCTCTTCGTCCACTGATCCCTATCGCCCTTCAAATCTGAGCTTACTCTCCTTTCATAAGTATCATCTTTCACACAATCCATCCATCTTATACATCCCACATTCATGTTAAACATTTATTTCCTTCGCACCATCCATCTCTTTTTTGATCAACCTCTCCCTTTCCATCCATCCATGTTCATGTTAAATACTTTCTTTAAGGGAGAACCTCCCTCCTCATCATAACATGCCCATATGTGACCTATTGTTTTCTTAAAATACATACATTTGGTGCGGATGGTGGGTCTGCAGTCGCTCGTCGCCAGCTACCACCACTCTCTGGTCCACTTGAACGACCACCGTAACGTGGCCTGAAATAAATAAATTTAAAACGAAATTAATGGGTTGTACGATTAATTACGTATGTAATGTAAACATCGAATTACGTTATATTGTTGATTAAAATTAAATTACAATACAATATCAGTTCGCGGCTAAATGCTGCGATGATTGCACGATAAAAGACTTTCGGGAGTCTAAACAATTCTAGCGAAAATTTAATCGTGATAACATTGTAAATTCATTAAATTCTCATTTATATACTTATATATACGACTGCGCACAATCTTCTTTCAATTAAACATACCTATCTCTGTCGCGATCAGGTTCACGTGTAGCAGCGGAGCGCCAAGCTCCTTCCTCTCTAGGACCGCGATCATCTCTAGGGCCACGATCATCCCTTGGGCCGCGATCGTCTCTTGGGCCACGATCATCTCTTGGACCACGGTCATCTCTTGGGCCACGGTCATCCCTTGGGCCACGGTCATCTCTTGGGCCACGGTCATCTCTTGGACCACGGTCATCTCTTGGACCTCGATCGTCTCTCGGACCACGTTCATCTCTAGGAGGACGTTCATCGCGTCTAAAAAAGTAATTATTTTTAGTTAATCAAATAGGAAGGAGCTCTACATACAACAAAAATTAAGAACACGGCACAACGCTCAAAATAAATCTTGTAATATTCCTCTGTAGCTAATAAAATAAGCTAATATATGCATTAATAAGTCAATGCATACATTTAATACAGTCTTTTTCAGAAAATATTAATAGTATTACTATAACATATATCGTATATACGATATAAGTGCATTATGATGTTTATAATACACAAGGCGAAATTTTAGTGAAGACTTGTTTTTTATAGAACGGCTATAAAGAGGAAAAAATATCAGCGCTAGATTTATCTGTAGCTTTATGCTGAGTTAGTTGACTATTCACCGTTGTAGCACAATAACGCTAATTCATAAAGTAAAGTATATATGTATGTATACAGACCGGTCGTCGCGCGCGCGGCGGTCGGGCGAGCGGCGCTCGTCGCGCGACACCTCCGTGCGACCGCGACCTACAACAAAACAAACATATTAACACAATATTATATTGTTCACAGACAGTGTATAGATTTAAGTAAGAAGGATAAAGATTTCCTAAAGAAAACTTTTTATACTATGATGGTGGCAAACATGCATACAGGTCATCTGATGACAAACGTTAAACATAGCCTATGGACACCTGAAGCTGAAGGTGTGCCTGGTGTTTTTCCCTAGGAGGAGGTTCATCGCGTCTAAAACAATATTATGTTTACGCAATCAAATACAAAGGAACGCTACATACAACAAACAGACTATTCAAAATATGTTATCAATTGCAAGGAAGCTCGATGTTTAATATATATCTATCTCAGGAATTTGTGAATTTTATCTATAATAGCACAATACTGTAGGCCTATAGACACCTGAAACATCAGGGGTGCCTTACGGTGACACCCCACGTGCGTGCCGACCCTAAAATGGTACTATATGTCTGGATCCATATCGGAAGCTAGTTATAAAAACTTCTTTCCTAAAAATTGTACTCACTCTGCCGAGTAAAATTACAGACTACTAAGAAATGGCATTTTAGTATTAAGAAATGCAACACATAATAGATACCATGGGATTCACTGTTAGTTATGCGCAGTTTATATATACAAGCGCCAGTAATTAAATTACACTACAAGTTTACAGTTGCACCAAAAAAAAATATCCAAAAAAAGATGACTTACAAACCAATACAATATGTTGTATATTGAATTGATGTTCTCTGGAATTTTGATTTGTTAATTCATGGAATCAAATTAAACATAATTAGAGCTATGCAATACACAATGCATACCATGGATTTACTGTTAGCAATTCTACACACAATAGTTAGGTTACAATAGAACAGATTACTGTTGCCAAAAAAGTCAAGGAAATGAATACAATATCCTGGATATTGTATTGAATTGATGGAATTAAATTAGAGATATGGAAGAACTTACTAGGTCGCCACGGCTCTGGTTTCTTCTCTGGCTCCTTGGTGTCTTTGCTGCGCCAGGCGTCGTCGCGGTCACGCGGAGCTTCTCGGTCACGTGGCGCTTCCCGGTCACGGTCACGGTCACGGTCACGGGGGGCTTCACGTTCACCGCCACGCCGCCAGCTGCTGCCGGTCGTCGTCGTCGCTGACTTTTGTTCTTCAAGTCGCCGCTGCACTTCTGCTTCTTTTGCGCGCATCTTCGCTTCTGTTCGCGCCAACATCTCCTGATGTTCCCTTTTGTAAAATAACTCGAGCATTAGATTCATGTATCACGTCATTTAATTATATTGCGGTGTATCTAAATTTTGATATCGACCGTAAGACCAACTCCTGTGTATACAACTTTAGTCTGAACAGAACCTCAGCTTAAGCAGTGGTAATTTTCATCTCCATTCGAAAGTGAAAAGGGAAAGGTAATATTCCGTTTGAAATAACTTGTAGTTAGTTATTATTATTAGACAATTGCATGCGTGTCATTCATGAGAGTTATATGGTACATAGTAAATATATTGTACAGTGTTAAATTAGAAAATAGACTTAATTATCAATGAATTACAAAAAACGAATACTAGAATATTCTGGTCTAAAATTAATAATCAAATATCAAATTCACTGAATATAAAAAATAAAATAGGAGTTAATAAAAATAAGTAAAAGTGAGAGTAGCATTATGTCATAATAAATTAGAGGAATGGAGTGGAATTAATAAAAATAAATGTGTGTGAGAGCAGTGTTGCGCGCGCGTGTTTGTGTGTGTGTGTGTGCACCCAAAATTGCCAGCAGCGTGATAGTGCTCCCGAAATCAATTGTCTAGCAAAAAAAACAGCATATATGATTAGACTTAGTATTTTTTTTGAAAATATACACATTTCTTTTGCAGGAATAATTTTTAAGCATACATGAGCAAAATCTCACTGCACTTAAACAGTTATCTTTAAATATTATTATAAACGCGAAAGTTTGTAATTATGGAGGTCTGTTACTCTTTCACTCAAAAACTACTAAACTTATTTTAATGAAATTTTACTGTAATACTGTAAACGTTTATGCATTCAGAATAACACATAGACTATATTTTTTATTGAAATTTAACGCGAGCGACACGTAACATATGTGTGAGTGAGTTTTGGGCGCGTACTTCTCCTGTGTGTGTGTGTGAATGAGAGTTTTGGACGCATGCTTGTCCTGTGTGTGTGTGTGTGTGTGTGTGCAGGTGGAGCGGCTGCGCGGGCAGCACGCGTGCCCTGTGTGTGTGTGTGTGTGTGTGTGTGTGTGTGTGTGTGTGCGAACTTCTCCTCGCGCCTCGCGCTCCCGCAGCGCGGCGAGCTCCTGCTGGTGCAGCTTGTCGCGCTCCTCCTGTGTGTGTGTGTGTGTGTGTGTGTGTGTGCGTACTTCTCCTCGCGCTCCTTGCGCTCCCGCAGCGCGGCGAGCTCCTGCTGGTGCAGCTTGTCGCGCTCCTCCTGTGTGTGTGTGTGTGTGTGTGTGTGTGTGCGTACTTCTCCTCGCGCTCCTTGCGCTCCCGCAGCGCGGTGTGTGTGTGTGTGTGTGTGTGTGTGTGTGTGTGTGTGTGTGTGTGTGTGTGTGTGTGTGTGTGTGTGTGCGTACTTCTCCTCGCGCTCCTTGCGCTCCCGCAGCGCGGCGAGCTCCTGCTGGTGCAGCTTGTCGCGCTCCTCCTGTGTGTGTGTGTGTGTGTGTGTGTGTGTGTGTGTGTGTGTGTGTGTGTGTGTGTGTGCTGGTGCAGCTTGTCGCGCTCCTCCTGTGTGTGTGTGTGTGTGTGTGTGTGTGCGTACTTCTCCTCGCGCTCCTTGCGCTCCCGCAGCGCGGCGAGCTCCTGCTGGTGCAGCTTGTCGCGCTCCTCCTGTGTGTGTGTGTGTGTGTGTGTGTGTGTGTGTGTGTGTGTGTGTGTGTGTGTGTGTGTGTGTGCGTACTTCTCCTCGCGCTCCTTGCGCTCCCGCAGCGCGGCGAGCTCCTGCTGGTGCAGCTTGTCGCGCTCCTCTCGCTCGCGGCGCTCCTCCTCGTCGCGCAGCCGCTTGGCCTCCTCCGCCGCGCGCTCCTCCGCGCGACGCTTCTCCGCCAACCACTGCGACACGACACCACTATTTACTACAACTCCGACGATTCGTGCAGTCATACCGGCCGATATGTTAAACCAGCAAAAACACAAGTCTTAAATTACGTAAAAAAAAGACAAAATAATGTCTCCTGTTGAGACAATGATCTATTACGGAAACTAATTCAGTAAACCATTAGCGCAGGTGGGTGAAGATTTTCATATTTATTAATTAATAGCGGCCCATACCGGTCGGGCATGGATGCATTACAAACCTTTAAAATTCTCAGCTCGTTCTATACTATGAACATCTATCGAAGTCTGCATCGCAATCGCCCGGACAGCAGCGGTGACTTCGTATAATCGTGAATACTAATATTATGTACAGCGGAAACCACTGCCGTGTAACGTATAGTCAACCGGTATGGAGTACCTCCTGTCGGCGGCGCTCGATGCGCTGCGTGCGGCGGTGCGCGCGGCGCTTGTCGCGCTCGGCCGCCAGCATGTCGCGGAACGCGGCCAGGCGCTGGTGGTGCGCCGCGCCGCGCTCCGCCCGCACGCGCGCCACGAACGCGTCGCGCTGCGCGTGCATGCGCGACAGCCGCGTCGACGTCGCCACGTCGCGCGCGCGGCCCTCTGTACACACACACACACGCGTCTCATCACTCTCGTTATCTGAACGCGTCGCGCTGCGCGTGCATGCGCGACAGCCGCGTCGACGTCGCCACGTCGCGCGCGCGGCCCTCTGTACACACACACACACACACGTCTCATCACTCTCGTTATCTGAACGCGTCGCGCTGCGCGTGCATGCGCGACAGCCGCGTCGACGTCGCCACGTCGCGCGCGCGGCCCTCTGTACACACACACACACACGTCTCATCACTCTCGTTCGTCTCTCGGCCTTCAATCGAGCGCGCCTTTTTGTATTAATTAATCATCATTACAAAAACCTGACTATAGAGCAAGAACAAAACTATAGAGGTATTGATTATTAATAATCTTAAAAAAGCTTGGAAACAAAAAGTGAAGGGACGGAAAACATTACGCGCTATTACGATCGAAAGAGTGAAAAAATAGAAAATACAATCCTATACGATTGCGCCAACTAACCAATAAGTTGTTCAATACGTTCAGCCTCCTGTTGTTCCCAGAACGCCTTGTCTTGCACTTGCTTTTCTTCCAAACTCTTCTGCAGTAATGGAATCTCTTCCAGACGTTTGGCGCGCTCAAAATAGTCCACCTATGAGATATACAAAATAAGAATTATAGAATTTACTTAATGTTTCTAATATAGTTAAAAAGAAAATATATTCAAGTATGACCAGCAATCATAGCATGAGAACTACTTAGTTTGGGAGTAGATGGTGTTTTGTGAATTGTATTGTGAGTGATCTATTATTCTTGGTAATTGGTACGTAATTAATTATTCTACCCAATAATTCATTAGGTATATTGGAAATCTGAAAATGAATTCTACTTTTAATACTACATTGACTACTTTACTTCATATAAATAGAAAATATCTTTATTCAAGTAAACGCAATATAAGCGCTTTTGTATAGCCATATTTTTTTATTCCACTACTTATTCGGAACGCAGATCATTCACAAGAAGAATGAGCTAGAAACTTGTGTGTTTTAAATAAACAAATACACAGTAACAAGTAGGAGACATGCGACAATCAACATAGAAACCACTACACACTCATTCTTTGTGTAATCAAAAGATAATGGCGTAAGCATTGTGAATTTTAAGATTTTACTACAAAAAAATTATACATAAGTAAATTAGTTCAGACTCATGAATACCATTACTGACATTTGGACATACAAACATTATATGTTAAGAATATAGTAAACATTACCTTCTTCTCCTGTGACTTCAATTTCGCCTGCATCTCGCGGCGTTCCTTCATCAATTCCTCCGCCTCACGTTGGGCTATAGCTTCTGCGTCCATTTTTTTTATTTCCTGTATCACGAAAATGTCAAGTGATGAGTCAATTGGATAGCAAAAGGTAACTATAATTATCATGCTTATAATGTTTAAAATTGTACATTAAATTAGCTATATTTTCAGTAAACTGTTAATGTTTAAATATAATTCTTTAACTAGCAATAAGTTGTGTAGTGACATACCTCCTCGTCGAGTTTTTGCAGCATCTTCTTGCCGTGCGCGGTCTGTGAGATGTGGGCCATGCGCTCTCGTCGGTGACGCTCCTTCATGGCTGCTATCTCGGAGGCGTACTTGCGCTTCTCCCGTTCCTCTCGCTCCGCCTCCAACCTCCGGGCCTCAGCCGCTGCTGCCGCTCGCAGTTGCTCCTCCTGCCGCCTGGATACGAAGACAGGTTAGTGGCGAAAACAATCGAATGTAGACGTAGTACTGAGTCGTCTATAGAGACGTGGATACTACAGTCTCGCTTAGTTCTGTCGCTAAGATGCTTATTTCGTAAGCTGCGTTTCAACTAATGGGTGGACATGGCAATGAAGGTACAGAATGGGTGGACATGGCAGTGAAGGTACAGGGTCTATGGCGCTGATAATGTCTAGTCTTACAATGATAACATCAAGTCATCATCATGATACACACGAGACAGAGATGTTCTATTATAGTTCATCTATAAAATCAATATTTTGTAGATGAACTATGGAATCACGTCATTCGTCACTGACCATATACAATTAATAACTTTATTCCATATATAATTTTCTATTATCAATTTATTTAATCTTCCTTAATACACTTATTATTGAGGGTCTATTTTATTTATATATTAATTGCCACCGACCCCTCAACATGAGTTATTATTCATTTTATGGATGAACTAGGGAATGTTTGTCTTGTAAGACAGTCATCAGGAAAAAAAGTAATGATATCAAAGAATTATATAAAAAGGCAGATCTACCTAAGCGTTTTTTGGGCTGCAGCCCAGGGCTCGGTGGATACAAAACCCCCACCAGCGCTCACAGAAAACAGTAGCCGTATTTTGAATTTAAAAAAATCAAAAAATTATCATAAGCAACCCTGAGATTAATCAACCCATGCATCTATCGAATCGTGAGCGTCTATCGAATGGAACGGGGAATTCCCCCTCGCTTGTTTATGGTCGGTGTACTTTGTTAGTTGAGTAATATAATATAATTAGGTTGGCCTCTAATTAGTTTTAGGCTAGGGCTCCACAAATTTACTACAATAACACACTATGTTATAAAATTGTAAAATAAAAAATATCTATCTACAACAAACATAGAAGTGTTTATCATTTACCTGAGCTCCTCCTCCTCGCGGACGGTGTTGAGCCGCTCTATGTACTCCTTCCGCTCCTCTATGATCTTGTGTCGCTGCAGCACGCGGTGGTGCTCGGCGTGCTTGTTCTCGTGGTAGTGCTGCAGCATGTGGAGCCGGGCTCGTTCGGCGTCCGCTCGACGACGAGCCGGGAACAGCTTCCCGGCCGCTCCGGCCAGCACCGTCGCCGCCAGCACTAGCTGCTCGCGAACCTGCGCAAAACAATCATTTTAAATATAAAATTCTCGTGTTCCAAAGTTAGTGTATTATATATAACGTCATAGTGGCGAGGTGATAACGATTGCGATACATGTCTATAAGCAATTGATAAGCAATTGATGTGTCTGTGGGGTCGGTAGCAATAGTAATGTAAATAAAACAGACCCTCAACTAATAATAAATGTATATTAATAAAAATTACAGAAATCGATACTAGAATATAAAACAGACCCTCAACTAATAATAAATGTATATTAATAAAAATTACAGAAATCGATACTAGAAAATATTATTAGGATTATAGCTGTATGTGGCGAGTGACAGATGACATGAGAATATTTTATAGGTGAAATATGGAACGTGTTTGTCTTGTCTGTAAGCGGCCAGTTGTCATGAAAAGAGGTAATGATGTGAAATGATTATCATACAAATATATACAGTACATCATATATCATTCAATCAAACCTGCTCGGCCGGAGTAGCTTGCAGTATAGCGCCCCCGCAGGCTTCATCGGCAGCGGAGCACCACTCGCCACCGCCAGCCTCCACGCCGAAGTGTACGCACCTGAAATATAAGCACAATTATATATATTTTATTACACTTAAAAAAATATAGTAATAAAACAATTTATATCTGAATTTACACAACCCATAAGAATGGTACATGGTACGTACTATATTACTTGCTTCCTTGAATTTCATTGGTAGATCTTATCTTAATATAATATTATAAACGCGAAAGTTTGTAAGTATGAATGTTTGTTACTCTTTCACGCAAAAACTACTAATCGTGAAGGATTGCTTTTAATTAAGTATTTTTTAAAAGCAATCTCTCGCAATAAATGAAAAATATTTTTCAATAATAAGTACCAAATAATGTATATACAAAGTATGTTCAAATGATCTTATTTCAGCAATTTATTTGTACCTACTAGATCATGTTTGCTTTCAAACATATAAAAACCGGATCATAATCAGTCCTCAAAAGTATAATAACCCTACTTATAATGGATGTTAAAAAAATGTTTTAAAATTCAGAACAGTTTCTTACTTGTTAGCATGGTCGATGCGTATCTGCATGTCATTGTGACGCACGCAATCGACGAGTAGACGCTCCAAATGGAACAGATCCTCGGTGCCGGCCAACTCCAGCAGCCGAGAGAACTGCACGCACGCGTAGCACTGAGCCACTTGACGGATCAACCGGACAAGGGCCACGTCATTCAGAGCCACAGTGTACTGAGCCAGGGGTGAGTCTGTTCAAATTAAAAAATCATTTATTCATGTAGGACATCTTAGCCGTTTATGAACGTCAATTTATTTCTAATATAATATTTTTTCCCTAGTTCAGTATATAGGTCCAATTGACTAGAAACTCAATTAAATTACCTAAATTTACTGTTGAGGATATAACAAATAATATTTTTATCACCAAACTACACGACGAACATTACGACTTCATCCTTATGTCGTAGAAATTCATCATATTCGCACTGGACGGGTCGCGTCGTCATTTTAAATGTGCACTTCCAGCATTCCTGTTCCCGTATAAACACAACCCTGGTTTCTTCGAGTGTATGGTCGATAGATTTCTTCTGGGTAAGCGCACTACATCATAGGTCTCGCCATTATTTCCCACCAAATGAGGTAAGATCAAGAGCAAACCCATTCATAACAAAAAAAACCCTGTTTTTTATGTAACTGGAATGTCAAACAAGCTGACCGCCCAGCTAATGGTCAGTAGTATAATAGAATGGTACATCCGCCTGTGCTCACGGTATACGCTGGTGGGGAACTAATGGATGATAAGGTTAGCCTAAGGTCAGGTCAGTCAGCTCATCATAGTGAATGTGACTGGAGTGGGAACACAACAACTATTAATGAAACTCTTTAATAATTGCAATGTGTATATTTCCTAAGAGGGCTCACAGGGCTAATATAGAATTTATAAAAATAACGATGGACAAGCTGCCAGCAACAGTAAATTTATAGGGAATTAATCATATTGGTTTTCCTTACACTAATACATTGTCTTGAAACTTTGGGAAGGTCAACCTGGTATAGTACATTCTAGGAATAGGATACTAGTCCCCATATATATGGGGATATCCCTACATAGATGCTGTCTATGGAGAGTTTGCTAGAAATACAAATTAACACAAAATATTCTGGCGTCAGCAAGATTTGAACTCACGCCCCTTGCGATGAATAATGATTATTTGTACTAGACATATTAAATATAAAGTTACAATATCTGGTTATACTTACTAGGTTCATCTTGCAGTGCTTTGATAACACCCTTAACATTGTGACAGATAGTCAACGGGTCAAATTCAACCTCCAACCAGGAGTACAGCTGTTGTAACTGAGGGGACGCCAGCGCCACCACATTCAGGCGAATCACATCTGTCAAATAACACAACTGTTCAGACCAACTTAATATAGATGGAGCTGACCTAGAAAACATTGGTTTGCCATATATATTAAAGTACTATACATATAAGTAATATAGCTATTTAAGTATATTTTTTTATACATGTATCAAAAATACTCTTAATTATTTTTGATACATGTATAAAAAAATATACTTAATATAAGTTTATTTTTAGTCTGTGCTCAAATTAAGAATAGATTAATATTGTTTGTCTTTAATATTGTGTTCAGTCTTTGACAATAGAAATTTAATAATGTTCAAGCTTATAACTTAAGGCCATAAGGTCTAGTTTCGACCACTAGTTATTACTATTACATGATGACTGTACCTTTGAGTAAACTAGTACGAGTTGGCGGCTGTGCCAATCCAAGCAACACGGCTAGTCGCTGCGCTTTCTCAACAGGACTCTTGTCGGTTTCCACGAAACGGTCGAACTCAGGGTGGAGCGATGGCAATGGTACCGACAACACCGCCACTAGGACGCGACATGCCATTCTGCAATAGCATTATGAATTTATTTTATGTAATTAGTAATTCCTGGACAAAGCGTCATGTAGCCCCAAGCTAAGCAGAGCTTGTGTTATGGGTACTAGACAACTGTATAAATGCTTACTTTTTTGTAAATAGAATAGAATTTTTAAATTACAATAAACTCAATTTAAGTACTTTTGTATAATCACTTCCTACCTTATTCGGAAAATAGTCTTATCATAATTGAGCAAACTTGAGTGTTATTCTATTAATTACTTACTAAAGAGCTGTTTTGTACTGGCATAAATTAACACAGACTTGCATGTATTATCAAAGCCTGTCGCGTCTAGCCAATGATTATGATTTTCCTCCGAGGCCTACCATATCCTAACAATGGTAACATTAGGAATGGGATTTATTTCGGAGGATTACATTAGCAAATACAACAGTATAATAGTGTTTATGTTGTAAAACAATAAATTTTGGTTTATATTTAGTTTAGAGTACAAAAAATTAAATGTAAATATATTAATATTAAAATAGTTTAATTGTTACTATTAATTAACTGTTGTAAAACACATACATAATATACATAGAAAATATCCAGACTTGTGAATAAAAATGCTGCACACATGAGGAATCGACTCTGCGACCATCAAAAGTAAGATGGTTGTTTGAACTTAACAGTCCACCTATACACATGAACTGATATTCATATATATAGCAAACAAAAAATGGTCATTGCTCTGTGGTATTATTCTTGATTACAGGTGACAGTTACGACCACCATTTGGGGCATTAACTTGTTTGAACTTAACATTCCAGATGGAATAGCAAACAAAAAATGGTCATTGAAAATTAAGTTACTCATTATATTACTCACTTCTGTAGCTCTTCTTGTGTGATATTCTTCTTCATTTCTCTGGACAGCTGAAATAGCTTGAGTAGTGCAGCTGCATGGAACAGACAGTGTCCAGCCTTCCAGAATACTAATGCCAGCTTGCCATAGTAGTTAGCCATGGTCTTGGCCACTGGAGTCTTCTTGGACATGTTCATAAGATTGTGAATATCTTCTATAGCTTTGTAGGCCTCCTGTTATAGAAAAGATTGTAATCCATTAGTAACAGTTAAATTTGTTGAATAATATTATTGCTAGCAGAATGAATACAGAACAGTAATTTAATTTCTAATAAATAAAATAATGCATAAATATAAATAACATAAAGATTCCCCATGAATGTAATAAAACTTTGCATTCAAAACAGTTTCATATCAAATTGTATGAAATATGATAAATGTATGTAGATCATTATATTAAATATGCTCACTATTTCCCTCACTATTTACAATTTATGCAATGCAATAATTCTTTGTTTTATCTTTTGAAAAGCTGGCGGATTATCCTTATCGTAATTGTTGATTTTATATACACATTTATCTTATAGATTGGTCATAAATATATTATTACTTTAGTTACGAAATAATAATCGCAAGAGGTTGATCTACTATATCTAGAGACAACGTGTTGTCGCTTTTGGCGGTAAAGAAGTAACGCGGTTCAAAAGGTAAGTTCGGACATGCCCACACAAGTTCTGGGAAGCCTGGCTAAAATAGAACCGGCAGTCCTCGCAGCGCGAGGTGAGGACTTTCCATTATATCAACCTCTTGCTCACAATATTAGTGTCATAAATATACAGTTCACTATATACAATTGCAAATCGAACTAATATCAGTCGTTCTTATAACATCATCTTATAATAGAATTTGTATCACAATGTTAGTTACCATATTCCTCCGAAACCGGTTGACCGATTTTTATGCAATTTTATATGCATATTTAGTAGGTCTGAGAATCAGCTACTATCTATTTTCATACTCCTAAGTGATAAGGGTTGTCCACCTCTTATTTTTTTTATAATGTGGAATAAAAATACATGGAATTCTAAATTTCCACCCGGTTATCACCAACTACTATTTTTTAATAGCATTTATTATTAGTACTTAAATTTTATCGCAAAATAACGTTTGGCACAACTAGTATATTAATATTATTCATTTGTAAAAGTACTAAACAGCTGTTTTGTATTGGCATAAATTAACACAGACTTGCATGTATTATCAAAGCCTGTCGCGTCTAGCCAATGATTATGATTTTCCTCCGAGGCCTACCATATCCTAACAATGGTAACATTAAGAATGGGATTTATTTCGGAGGATTACATTAGCAATACAACACAGTATAATAATGTTTGTGTTGTAAAACAATTTATTTAGTAGGGTGTAAAACAATAAGGTATTTTGTTTTGTATTTAGTTTAAAGAATAAAAAATTAAGTGTAAATATATTAACATCAAAAGAGTTACTTAATATTATGTTCATTTGCTAACAGTTGAATTCAACTTCACTTATTATATTAAAGAGAGGTATAACCCATCCCAATTTTGTGGACGAGTAATATTTTTACGTTACGTCAGGTCCTCTGTCAATTAAAAAATAATTATATCTAAGTAGGTACAGTCGACGTCATAATAAACTGTGACTTCATTCTGTCACTATAACAATGCGGCCTGCATACTAGTGAAGGGTGAACCTCTAAACTGTATTTTCAGAGAAAATCAAAATCACTTAGTGATTTGGGCTGTGTGTCACTGTAATATCGAACCCATTTAGTTACTAAAGTCACTAACAATAAATTATTTCTCAGAAAATACAGTCAATGCGGATAATAGAGTACTAATTATATTTATATTTACATCACATAGTGATTTATTGTAATACTAGATTAATTTGTATAGTATTTCCATTCTGCTAATGTAAAAAAATGACATGCAGTATAACAATTATTATATCTTACCTGCCACAATTCCATTTGTATAGCACTGTCTAACTGGAACAATCTGGTTTCCAAATTTAGTTGTTGTGTCTCTGGTTTAGATATGCTGACATTTCCAGTTTGCACCTGTGTAAAATATATTTGTCAGTATGAAATAATTATCTCTAGATTGTAGAAAAATAAAGTAAATAAGTCTCTTATGGGAACAGATATAAAAATTAACAATCAGATAACAAAGGATATTCTAGAATTTCCTTAAAATAAATTTAAATCTAGGTCTAAAAATCTAGTCTAAACTCATAAAAAAAGGAAAAATGTTATTTAAATGAAATATTTAATTTAAATACATGACATAGAGAAGTTATTATTCATGTTTTTATTCCTTAATAAAGTAAAGAAACACTTACAGTAGGTTTGCAAATATCCTCCAAATGTTTCCTCAATTTGTCACACAGCTTCCTGAATTCAGTTTTGCGGGAGTACTTGAGACAAAACTGGAATGCCATGCGAGCAATGTCATGGTACAGAGTCTCTACGTGAGCATTGGTACGTAGCAGTTCCAGGCATTGACAGTATGATTCCCACAGGAACTTAACCTGAAATAACATACTTGGTAATTCACTTCCAATTCTTTGATTTTTCTATATATGTTACTGTTGTGTATACAAAATATTAAATGTTTGGCTGCCATAAACACTGGTATATAGCAATATAAAATCTATAATCTTTGGCAGTCCACTGTTCTGAAACTATTTTAACATTTGTCATTAAGTAACTACATATATATTTGTCATTCTTTATGGAAATGACTATTACTAATAATTACGCTGCTTCATATTAATGACGACGGCCTCAGTGGTCTAGCCCTCTAGTGCACCACTTAACTTGTGATGGTTGCAAATTCAATTCCTGCCATAGTGGTAACATTAGTATTCATGAGTATAATTGTTGGTATCAGTCTGTGTGTTTTCTATGTATATAATGTATGTATTTATAAAAAATATATATCTAAGTATTCATATCCATTATCTAGTACCCATAACACAAGCTCTGCTTAACATGGGATTAGATGGTGCTGTGTGAAGTGTGCAAGGTTGTTATTATTATTAAAAAATATGTATAAAGTTGATAGTATTGTTCTTAAAGAATAATTTGTGATGGCATAAATTAACACAAGCTACTTTTAAGGATGTAGTTTGTCGCGTCTAGCCACCAGTTATAATATCCCTCCAAGGCCTACTACCTCAAACAATTGATTTATTAGAGATAGGATTTATTTTGAAGGCAAACTTCCAGCATTTTTATTATTTTACACTATTGGTAATAGCAAATAAGTCTATATGAACTAAACTATGGAGATAGCAGAGATTATAGGTTTGACATTCTTTGCATTAAAAGTCAAATTCTCACATAATATTCATTGATCAGAGTGCATTACCAGTCAGTTGGTAATACTTCTCAAGTCAAACAAACAGTTGTTTACAATTATGTTCTATCTGTAACATTTATATGTTTCAGGTTACAGGTCAGTTACAGGTTGTCAACAGCCTTACAATAAGAAAAAAAAATATCTTTAATCATGACTCCCTCAGTCAATCAAGGCAAGTCAGCTAGTCACATTTGAATAGTTACAATATCCTGTTATGATGCTACAGTAGTCTTATGATTATCCACTAGTGCCCCATTAGCATAATCTGTCAGCACAGGTAGGTGAATAATTCCATTATCATAGATAGATTAGACAAATAGTATTCAATTTTATAATTATACATAAATAGGAGTTTTACCCATGGTGTAAGTATGGTCCTGTCTGAACGATCTTGGGCGTCTTCTCCTGACACAGCACTGAGGAGGATACTCTCAGGAGTAGCTAAGTTATCTAAATCGTCAGTGTCAATGACAGCTTGAGTTGACTGCTGCCGTGCTGCTTCTGTACGTTCTTCAGCCATTCGTAAATAACCTCTGAATATAAAAAAATATAATATAAGGAAAGTAACTAATATCTAATTGTATTTACAAGAAATAATATGAAATATGTGACAACAATTAAGAGTTGTAGGTGGAATAGAATAAAGATGATTGATGATTTTATTATATTTTATCAATTTTCAATTTGCTTCCTTGCTCTTGCTCCTTGCTATTATTTGAACTTAACAAAGTTTGTCAATTGGTCACAATTATTATTGTATCAAATCAGTTTGATTGATTGGTAACTTTTAACTATACAAACAGGAGGGAAGGGGATTGTTAATAATGGGAACTAGTAACCCCAATTGCTAACAATGTTCCACGTAGGTCAACCATGCACTTTTTGAATCATTTTAATAACAATTTGATTTGCCACAGGTTGTTAATAGCATATACAAAACTCGCAAAGTTATTAACATTCAGGTAATGCCGGATAATATTAATTTTAAATAAAAAAAATATGGTACCTTATAACCAGCTCCAGTGATCCCACATTCACCGATTGGAACATGTTTCTATACTGGAATAGACCTTCTTTGGCAATATGCGACTTGCGAAGGTCGACGCAAAGTTCCAAATACTTAAACATGATGGGCTCAAGAACTGATTCAGACCAGTTGTAGGCCCATTTCTTGTTGCGAAAAACTTCCTGTAGGGTATCCAGAGCCCGAGCGGGCTTGTCCAGATCCATAAACTCTGTAGAGACATGATGCAGCAGTTTATATAGGTTATGTTTTTACGTAACGACTAATAGAAACAAAAACATAGAAGTATGTTTAGTTTTATAATAATTTAATAATATATTTTCTTTGTTTCACTTTAATAGATCAAGAGGATTTGTTTTACAGAGAAAAGGCAACGTAATAACAACATGCAACGTGGTAGACGACTTCCCATACTGTTATAGAAGAGTACAAACCATTGGCCCGTTTGAGGGCATTTTCCGGCCTTTGACCGTATCGAGCCATCTTATCGTTGGACTTTACTTCATTAACGCGAATTTGGCCTCACAAAAACTTTGTGGAAGATTAATAAAGTTAAAATAATCTTGAGGCCATTGAAGACTGAATCTGTCAAACGACAGAAAATTATCAAAATGGCCACTTTCAAATTTCCAATTTTCGATGTTGTCATTTAAAAAAAGTATAAACCATTTTTTATTATTCTCATTGCCTTGGAAGGCATGGTTCTTGATAATAGCACAGATAATATAATTTGATAATAGTATGAAATACACGCCCAAACTGGCAACACCAGTAAAATTTGTGTTCGAATGGTGCATGTGTATTGTATTGAATGACTTGTAGTAGTCATAAAGTATAAATGTCAATGTCACATTAATTATTATCAATTATCAGTCTTATCCAAAATGTTCATTATTTAGTTTTACCTTTTTTACCTGAGATGGGAAGACCAAACCAAAAAAAAAGAAACTAAGTTTGTTTGCCTAAGTTACTATAACATTAATTAAAATTATAATTTTAGCCTATGATACAATAACTAGTCCTTACGTAAAGAATTCCGGTTACTTTGTATTTTTAGGGATTTTTATTGTTAATATAACCATAAAATGCAGGTGATTATAAATATCTATTTATATCGTAGTCCTTATACAATTTGCTACATTTGTGATGAAGGTTTAGTCCTGCCAGATAAAGAAATATGCAGACTACTTGCTTTGGGGCCAGATAATTCTGGAATACAGGACACAATTCAAGAACACCAAGATGGAAGTCGTTGGAAATTAATAGTTAACGCCTTTTTCCTCAAGCCGTTTTTAAAAGAATGTCATAAATCAGACGTTTATCGTACTAATGTTGTATCTCATTTGAATAAGATAAGTGGCTATCCAGAAAATGGAGTTGTGTTTTTGAAATTGATTTTAGAACCACCTGACCAGGAAATTATAGACTATGGTTGGTAAGTATTTTTTTAATTTATTGTTGTTCAAGTACCAATTAATTCAGGAGGGCACTCCCAAAGAGCATTTGCATAGGCAAATAATTCACAGATTTACCACTCTTTAGTTTGTTTGAAAAAATACTATAGATCTTATTTGGAAATACTGGAACACATGACAGACTAAGAAAAATAAAATATGATATATAAGAAATATAGAACAGTTAAGCACCTAATGTAATAAAGAACATGGGATATTTGCAGCTTAAAAGCATGGAGGTTAACCAGTCTTTGCCTTTCTCTGACTTGAGTTGAGTGTAACATAAAAAAACATGTCAAATAGTACATGAATTTAGTGATTTTTTTACCTGACTCCTAACCTTGTCATGGTAAGTGTCATTTGTGAGTCTTCTAGTGTGACATAACATATTTTGAAAATGGAACTGAATGGTTATTAATTTTTAGTTTCATGTAAGTACATTATTATGGAATTTATATAATAATGTTATTAAATTTCAGGAATGAACGATTGTTAATATTGTTATGGACTCGGGTTGAAATAGAGAATGCATTTTCATGGCTATCCACTCTTGGTGGAGCTTACTCTGCATTAGGGGATTATTTTGAAAATTGTGTAAGTATAAATTCATAAATATTAACAGTTGTAATTGGTTTTCAAGATTTATAATTTTAAGTCAAATTATTCCATTTTCATAATTATGCAGGCTGATTGAAAGATGACAAAGTATGTTGGCATATTGTCTCAGTCCTCAGGGGTGATAGTACATAAGAGGTGCCATGGATATAGTCCTTACCATAGTCCCATTTATTTAGTGTTGCCCAGTCTAGTCAATCTTCACCAGTACAGTCTGTCCTGGGATGTATGGGGTGTTAATTTGGGGGTTTTTATGTGCCTATTAATAACAGATAACCATGTGAGGGTGGTCTAACATGTCTTCGTTCAAGTACTGTTCTTGTATGTGGTCTGATGGTTGCTGCTTGATGCGACAGTACCACCTTACATGGCTCAACAAAACTTTTTCCATTATAGACCTTAACTAACTGCCTTGAATGTGGATGTTTTGGATGTGGTCCAGCATTATTATGCTAATGTCAATGGTGTTATTTATGTTTATAAGGGACAGTTTGTTTGCCACTCCTGGTACATGAAGAATTTTCTCTCTTGCAGGCAGAAGAAGCAGGTAGAATATCAATAAGGCAGTATAAACTATCTAAAATGCTCGGTGATGATAGCCTCGCAGCAAGGAGTCAGCTCTATTCTGCATTATCATTCTCACAGAAGGGAAACCTTAAACTGTCTCGAAGAATAGTACGTCATGTTGCAGAGTTTGGCAGAGTTACGCATGATAAAAGGTTAATTAGGATGTGCCAAGGAGTCTGGGCCAAGTTGAAGTATTTGAGATCTTTAAGGAATAATTCAATATCACAGTTGGATAAAGACAAATGCAGTGGCAATGGTGTGATAAATTGTCATGGATATTGAAAAGCAATACTAAATTATTATTAAACTTGAGTCATGGTATAAGTGTCTTTCATGTTGTTTATTACAATGTAATAGTAAACGAGACAAAAATAGAGAATAAGGAGACTCTAAATTGCTCATATTTGTAATTAACTCAGCTTACCCTTTTGGGGCTCGGGATGGAATTTGGATGGCTTCCACAAATCGAAGTCGGCGATTTTGCTAACGTCATTATATTTGTAATTTTTTAAAATTGTTCTGAATCTGTTAAATATTTGTTTAATTATTTGTTGTCATAATTTTTTTCTTATGGATAAGAGGGTACACTTCTGTTTCGTGACAATGTTATATATTAAAATAAAGATAGTGAAGTATATAAATAATCATTTATTTGCTGCATACACTAAACACTAACAGTCTTATTCATAAAAAATATGTGGCCTATTACAGGTAAATCAACTTTGCATTTGTAATGTATGGTTTTTATATTGACCAGTAGATAATAAATAACTACACAAATATTTTATCGAAACCCGACTATCGCTCGGGTGAAAGTTAGATATTTCTGTAGTCATCGGTTCTCAAGGAATATTTAAGCAAGGCATAGATTCTAAATTCATTGTAGCAATATATTTATTAAACACAATGAACAAGTAAATAAAAAGTGCAAAAGTTTTTATACAAAAAAAAAATTATTTTAAATCAACATTCAAAATGAACTAACAAAAATTAACAAAACATATAACTTTTAAGGTTCATTCTCTGTAAACCTTTTTGTTTTAAGCACTCTCTACTTTGGCAGATATTTAAAACCAATTGCTTCATGCAAACATCTTTCCCATTCTTGATCATCAACTGGAAGTAAATAAATACTTATTTTATTCACTTTAAGAAAACAGAACAAAATTCGCTTAAAAACACAATCTGCCTATCTTCGCTGTATCCACTTTCCACAATTGTGTGACAATGTTTACCAAATGCAAGGAGATTCGGCTGTTAACAAAATATATATGTAGTAAAAAGATAACAATTTACGATCAGTTTTAGAAATATTTTTTTCCATAATGTGTTATATTCAAATAATAAATCATTATTCAAAACTAAATGACCAAATTTGAACTAAAACTTCCTTTTATGGTCATGGAAGTGGGTCTTAATTTTGATCTATAGTTGACCCCTTTGTCAGTGACAAAAATGATCGATTTTTGGACATTAAAATCTAAAAACTAACACAACGTTTGAGATATCACGTTTGATGAAATTTGGAACACATATTTATCTCGCTGTCCCCAATATATAAACCAAATTTGACAGGTTTGTTGATAGAGTTTTTGACTTGCTGTGTTCCTAATTCTGTCGCTCTTTCAGTACGACGTCGTGGTCCAAATGGTTCTCTTTTACCTATCCATTTCCTCTTCCTTTCAACCCTCGCCACGCGTTAGCATTTGCTATGCCCCGCTCTGGGGTCGAGCCTCCATAAACATGCGGGGCGCGGGGCGCAGTGACACCAAGTAGCTTAGGAATTAGTTTGTAAGTGCCATACTTGGTTATAGTTTGTTTTTTAATCCCGGAGACTAAATTGACAGGTTTAAATGTCAAATTTTCAAATAATGTTACCACCTGTAGCGGGGTAGTGGTGTACCTGCGATACCGATTTGTTTATTCGGAAACTTTTATTTTAACAAATTAGTTTTAAAGCTTAATATGCTACGTTTATACGTTTCCATAACAGAATTTTATAATTTATTTTTGTCGCAGCATAAAAATATATTTTTGTCGTTTCCGTACAAATAGTAATTTTTATAGTATTAATCTACAATCCAACATTTTTTTCTTACAATCAGCTAAATAATTTAAATAGGTGTTCGTTTCATAATATATGACACTATGAAAAGGTAATTTGTTTGTTTTAAGAAAATCTATTTTGATACAAAAACTATATATTTATTAACACAATTTCAGGTTTAAAGAAATAAACACATACACACTGTACTCACACACAACACAATGTAACACATATACTCTTTTATCATAAAAAAGTGTCAAAAACAATATTTTCGCGAAACGACTGAAGAAAAGTATTTAATTTTGTTATTATTCACTCAATGTTTCTGGCAAGACGTTTAGTTTGACACAGTCACATGAGTCACAGTTGTTTGTGATGGATACCTTATTGGCGCGAACGCACGCGATGTGTTGATTGGTTGTTAACTAGTGAAATGAAAAGATGGTGACTGCGGTTTGTTTGTCAGTGTCATTAGAATTTAACGAAATACTCCATAATCAGAATTTTGCGGATAATCAACATTTTTTTATGTTTTGTTATTCACGTAAGGTTTCGTTCGAGTCAACCGTACCCCTTGACGAAATTATTAATATAGATATCTTATTTTTATTGGCACCTATTGTTGCACATATTAAATAGAATTTTTAAAAATATTTCCTTCAAGTCTAGTAATATAAATAACAAATGAAAACAATATAATAATCAGAAAATAATAACGTAAAACGGCGTTATATTTCTAACGATAAATATATGCGAAGCAGAGATCGATGCACGTGTTAGCTAGCGGTGACGGTGACGGTGACTAATCTGCCTATATTTCACTAATATAAACACCTATTTAAACTGATTTGTATATAGTTAACGTTAAAAAAGTTAGTTAACCACAATTTATACGTATAGTTAGTAAATCACGAGAAATTCCGTTTAGCCATTGACACTGCTGAAACACTGCCGAAATACGGGAACTCAATAAAAATAAAACGTGGTAAGATCCCGTGATTTTGTAATCATACGTATAAATAATGACTGTGTCAAATTTAGAACAGTATATAGTTAACAATAAGTACTTTATCGTTAACTAGTTTCTGGTCGAACTTGCTTCAGATCGATCCCCGTCTCATCAAACGGGGATCGAAAGCACCACGACTTCTGCTGTGCTATGCTGAAGTCGTATAACTCAGGCGTCTAGGAGAGGTCTGTCGAGCTGTTCCATAAGTCTTTCGGCGAGTTTTCATTCGGTGAAATTGCACAGGCCAGCTACCGCCAACAGCATCAAATAGTTCAAAAAACAGCTGCTGGTCACTGGAGATAAAATGTAGCCTGTGTCCTTCATTTGGTTATGGTGTAAACGAAACAAACAAACTGATTTTATAATATTTAATATTATTTACATTACGTACAAAATCATAACTCTTACTATTTAAGCCAGTTGAAGTTACAGGGTATATGTAAAGTGTTTGCTAATTATTATAAGCAACATATTAAAAATAAATGCATACTAAAGTATATACGGGTACGTCAAAATATTATTTAAAAATATTTTAGTCTATCTGTCTGTTTGTTCTTGCTATTCTTTGAAACAGCTGCACTGATTTTGTCGCAGATAGTACACAGCGCCATCTAATCCCAAAGTATGCAGAGCTTGTGTTATGGGTACTAGACAACTAATATAAATGCATAGATATATTTTTTGTATGTATTTACAAAAAAAAATATCTATAGTAAATATCCAAACCGATTCAAACAATCATACTCATATATCATAGAATACAAATGTTTGCACAGTGCGAAGAATCGAATCCGCGACCATTAGACATAAAGCGGTGTGCTAAACTGCTACACCATCGAGATCGTCAAAATAAATAACACTTGCACATGTAATAATATAATTATTTTATTGACTACAACATATAAGATACATTAGAATATTAGTTTAAATTATAAGCTTAAATAGAATGCATATAATATATAAACAATACCAGAACCTAATTAATTTCTTAATAACTATCTTTAAAATCGTATTAAAACTCGTGCTTTAGTTTTTCTATGCGAAGAAACAAATGAAAACAGTCGTTGGTGACATTGCTAGGCATGTTTAGACATGTTTCAGTTGACCGTAGAATTATTTGAAGATGCGATCGCCTTGCCCAGCGGTGGTGTAACTCTAATGTTCGTCCGTAGACAGAACACAGGAGTGTTGTCACTCTGGTCTACCACTCGGAACTCTATAGCAGCCGAAGTGTCCTAGAAATAAAAATTGTTCAGTCTTGGTGTACTGCTTTAACATACTGCTTTATTTCCCGATCTTTGGTATAATCAATAATCGATACACATCGATATCAAGTTTTCGATATTATCGAAACTCCGATGTTAAGAAACCGTTGTTATGTACAAAAGTTATTCGAAACGCAAATTAATATAAATTACGACAAGAATCCATTTCAATGTTTTTCATTCGATATTTATATTCCTTTCATGTAGGTCGATGTTGACGTTTGTTGTTTGATGTTTTTCTAATATCGATCATCCCTACCCGAAGGTCCCGGGTACGATCTCCAAATAATTAACCAGATAAATATTGTTTCATAAAATAGAATGAAAAGTAAGTTGACAGCACACTTTATATGTACTTAGGTACCATTCATGTATGAGGTACCGGTGGTGTCACATAATGACGTGTTGTCGTAGGTAGATGTATCCATATATATATTGCCATTCCATAAAACCGACTGATAGTCCTCAATAATCTGTCTTCCCTTATCCCATACTAGTTACTCGCCCCGGTTTCGCACGGGTGTACATGTATTATACGAGGGGCGGCTGATAAAGTCGCGGCCTAAGGCACTTAACGATGACTAATCATCTTACTAATGATACCAACTAGTAGAGGGAATCATTGTTAGTATAAATAGAGGGTATTTTTCATTTTTGTTCTTAAACACTACCTATGAAACAAGCAACAACGCCATGTCAACAGAACCTGGAAATTCACGCAATTTGGAGCATCGCGCCGTGATTAAGTTCCTCGTTAAAAAAGGAAAAACACCCAAAGAAATTTTTGAATCAATGTCATCAGTTCTTCAGGATTCTGCTGATGATCTGCTGATCTTTATACACGATAGTAAAACAATGGGTTCGGTTATTAAAATGCAAGGCAGAGAGACGTGTGAAGACGTTCCCTGTCCGGGTCGCCCTGTGACCGCGTACCGCGAATGCTCACACCGATCGACAAGCAGCGACGGTTAGAGAGCTGTAAAGATTTTTTAACGTTCTGTCAGCCCGATTTGGATGAAATTTGTAATCGTATTGTGACTGCCGATGAAATATGAACCCGTCAATATGATCCCGAGTTCAAACAGGAGTCGATGCAATGGATAAAAAAGGGAAAAAGGCCACCAAAGAAGTTCTAAGTGGAAAAGTCGGCATCGAAGCTTATGCTACCATTTTCTGAGCTAGCGAGGGAATTTTATTAATTAATTACTTGCCTAAGGGAACTACAATGAACGGTCAGTATTATGCTAATTTACTGGCTAAGGCACGTGAGGCAATCGTCGAGAAAAGAGGCGGCCAGTTGGCGCGCGAGATGTTGTTTCTGCAAGACAACGCGCCCGCTTCTTCACACCGCTCGAGTTGCGAAAGGTGCCTTAAAATCCACGGGATTTGCAGAAATTGACCACCCTCTCTAGAGTCCGGACATGGCTCCCAGCGACTTCTTCCTTTTTTCAAATTAAAAAAAGAAACTACGGGGACGAAGATATTCGGATGACAATGAGATGAAGGGAGCCGTAGATAGTCATGTTTAGGAGAAATATAAAGATTTTTTTTGTCGGTATCAAAGCACTATATTCACTTTGTGAAAAGTGTATATCATTTGATAGGGATTATACTGGAATTTAAAAAATGTAAAGTTATATATTTTTTTCATTAACTACCTTAGGCCGCGAAATTATCAGCCGCCCCTCGTACGTATTAACATATAAACCTTGCTCTTGAATCACTCTATCCATTAAAAAATAACCGCTTCAAAATCCGTTGCGGGGTTTTAAAGATTTAAACATACATAGGGACAGACAGCGACAGCAACTTTGTTTTATACTATTATGAATGATAATGATAATATTTGTGCATTATAATGTGTTTTTAAAACACATTACGGAAATAGTTTTCAACTTAGTTTTGTTACCGGCCGCTTGCCTGACACCAACCCTCCTTAGGAAGGCACTCGGATGATGGTCACTTGAACAAGTGTCACAACATAAAATATTATATAGGTATTGGCAAAATATCAAATTTGAATATCAGAATGAGGAAATATTTGATTATTGAAACTCGAGAAATAGCTTCAAGTGTTTAAAAAAAAACTTAAAGCAGTAGTACTCACCACTGGCATGAAGGATTCAATGAACATGTGCAAAGTATACAAGACGACTTCGCTCTCTAGCACGGGACAGTAGGTGTTGGTGAGGAAATTACAAGTAACGGCGTTCTCTTGAAGATCGTAAGGTACTGGTATCGCTATTCCGCCGATCACTGACAGATAAGCCGTCGCTAAAGTACGCATACTACGCATGGTGCGTGCTAAAACAAACGAAAGTTTTAAAATTAATTACTTCAAACAAGAGCCTGTCATTTCTTAAATAAGAACTGAAATGGACATTACAGGCATATATGTCCAATACAACAGCGTTGGCTGTTTGGCAGAGTCGTAGTTTGGCCGCCGAACAGTCAATCTAGACTTCCATATTCGAGCTCTATTATATGAAACCTACACGTTACCAGATGGGTGTAGATTCGATAATGGTCGAAATTTAATTACCAATAGAGAAGATCATAACGCTTCTAGTAACGGTGGTCAGGTTTCCGCACTGAATATTTGTGATTTCACACATGCTAATGGTAGCGGAATCAATAAAAATAATATAAATCCATTATACAACAATTACATCTCATAGGAGTGGAAAGAGTTTAATATTGGGGATTAGTAACCCCATTGCTAGCAATGAATCATGTCGACCTCCACGCTATCTGTAAGCATATGTTTTTTTCAGACTAAAATAAAAAATAATATTACAAATCCATTTTGCAAATGAAAGAGTTCCGAGGCAATAAAGAAAACACAAAAATTTACAAGAGTTTCATTTTTTTAAATCTTATAAATATATAGATACTCACGAGCTCTAAATGCGATGTGGATGACCACATACTCTAGTTGAGGCAGCAGGCACGGGGGATCGTAGCAGTCCTCGATGTATGTATTAATTGGCAGTACTCCCGCATTAGAAGTGCCTGAGCAAAAGCAAAGTTGTAATTTACCAGAGGTCTACCTCTATATGTATATCTACATATATGTATTCATCTGAGCCCAGCAAATAAATGCAAACTATGTAATTGCAAAATAAAGCTTTTTATTTATCTATCTAAGTATCTTGCGAACAAGTGTGAGATATGACTCATATGGCAATGAAATTATAATTATAGGTACGCAGTCGTAACGACTCAGCCCCCCTCTCCGATCGATCCCCCGTCTAATTCAAACGGGGATCGAATTACGACGAAACGAAGACCGCAAAAAAAAACCTAGTTCTTTCGAATGACAACATGGGCGTCAATTAAATTGTCTCTTTCGTAGTGCCACAGATAACGTAATATTACATAGTAGTGGTAGTGCTATTCATGTATACATCCAATCATATCATCATCTAATTATATATAAAAAACAATTGTCGTTTTTTTACCTATATAGCTAATAACATAGAGTGTAACTACCGTACATATGTAATGTAGTTAACGATATAGTATGTAAGTAAAAAATTTTAAACAAACCTTTTGTGTGGGCTTTATTTTGTTCTACCTAGCTGTACCTACTTTCAAGTAGGTAGATATAACAAAATATGTAATAAGTACCTAACTATTAAAATATTTACAGTTTTTGAGAGTGTGATCGAGTTACTTGTATATCAAAATAAATATATTATAAACTTTTAATATAGCACACTAAAAATGAATTAATGCTAATACAGTGTTTTGTAAAAAAAAATATCATAAATGACAATGTTAAGTTTGAATTAAGTAAAACACCAATAGGCAATTGAGAAGATAGGAGATCGTAATACCAATGAGAGAATTGGTCATGTGAATTATAATTACCTAATTAATAACAAACAATTAGTATTAAAAACTTAATGAATAAAGAAATAGCTGAAGGTTTGGAAATAAGACTGGTCCTTCATAGAAATAATAAAAGATAAAAATATAGAATAATAGTAAAAGGCAAACTATTTAACACATTTATTACTCCAAATAGTGGCTTGCGGATGGGAAACATAGGCACTTACATGAGAACAAGAAACCAAATTAAGAACTTGCGAACATACCATGGAGAGAAGCATACTTCTCTTTTCTTATTGGGGGGTTTGAAGTATTGTCAGATGCTTAGACCTGTAGCACTGCGACCAACATAAATCTTTTGTGCTCGCCCTTTTTCAGAGTTCGCTACCTAGACCCGTCAGCGACAAGAATTGAAGGATATTCTTAGGAGCGATGGTTTCTATCTCCTCAGGATAGAGAGTAAAATTTTCAAAGGAAATATATCGTTTATGCATGAGTGGTCTACAACCACAAGAAACTTATTATAAATTTTGTAATGACATATTGTAAATTAAATAATGTAAATTTAATATTGTAATGGGTGAAAACTGTGATCGGTACAGCCTATGCTGTAAATAATATAATTGACGTAGTGGAGTAACCTGAAACAGTCATGCTCGCTATAAAGTTCAAACTTGTGGCGGCGTGGTGGGCCGGGTCGATGTGCTCCCTCAAATATGGTTGAGTACAATGATGGCTGGCTCATACGTCATACTCGTGAACGGGTGCTGCTTGTGGGGACTGGTCTGTTCAGGTTGTGAACACTGATTACATTTTTTGTTCTTTGCGATAGCATATGCTGGTGGTCACTCTATTCTCCCAAATTTGAATTTTAATAACTGTATTTATCATAAACATGTTCCACTATTATTTGAAAAAAAATTACGAGCTGAGTTTCTTGTCAGTTCTTCTCATCTCGATATCATTCCGAACTGACGGTAGATTTGACATATCATAAGAGTCTGTAATAGACCTACATGAATAAAGATATTTTGAATTGAATTTGAATTTGACATAGGTTATGTGGTGGCGTTTCCTCTTTTGGTTGGCATAATCTGCAGGCCCAGGTTTGTCAGATGTTTGTTCAATTTGCAGTGGTTTGAGGGCCCTAGATGCACATATTGTTTTTACTCAATAGCAATAGTCTGGAGTGTTCGAGTAGCCTGATATTAGAGCTTATGAATGTACTAATCCTGGCATTTTCTTTCTTACTTCTCTTAGAAAGATAACTAGAACATAGAATATAAATGTCAAAAATAGACAGCTACAATGGCGCTGGGTTAGATACACATTACGAGGAAAGGATAAATGAAGCAAGATCATAACTACTTGGTACCCAAGATAAGGACCAAGGGATAGAGGATGACCAAATAGAAGATGGGAAGATGAAATATATAAATGTCCTTATTATTATTATTAAATAGTTAAAACAGCAGGAAAACTATGGTCCAGAATCACTCAAGATAGAACAGAATGGAAAAGATCTCGATCTTTATATCCTTTGCTTCCAAGCAAGCAGACGAGAAAGGAATATTAGATATATTGCAAACAGAAAAATCATTACATAGTATAAAACAAAGTCGCTGTCGCTGTCTGTCCCTAACTACGCAACGGATTTTGAAGCGGTTTTTTTTTAATAGATAGAGTGATTCCAGATGAAGGTTTATATATATAATACATGTACACCCGTGCGAAGCCGGGGCGAGTAGCTAGTAATATAAATAGCGTGTCTTACGTTTGAATAAAAGACTATAAATAAATAAATGACAACAATAACTAAAGCTTTAGTTATTGCTAAGAACTATCTGAAATATAACGCGGTGACGGAGTTGCATGGATTATGAAAAAATCGGCTCATTACGTTTACATCTTAAATTTTGTTAGTTCGAAATTCTCGTATTCTTTTAATACTTACATTGACTGACTGGAGTGGTCTGTCCGTACGCCACTGCCAACACTGCACTAAATAATATTAACCGCCACATGTTAATAACACACTGAAATCGTAATTTGATTGTAATTAAGAAGTTTCATTAAATGTAAGACTATTTAAACAACATAGATAAGCCTAAGTCGTGGATAAATTATGATAATAATTATCAGTCACCGATAATTCACAGGTGTCTATGAATCAGTTTAATGTAGTATTTTTCAGCTGGTTTGATTGTCGATTGAAAATAGTATCGTACCGTTTGCAAATAAAAAAGTATTTTCTCCGTTAAATAAATAACACCTACCGATAATCAAATGTTTCACTTAGGTTACCTTGACATTTGACAATTCACATAACGCTATTTAATCATAAGCTAATTTTATAGGTACTAAACAACTGACAGGATTTTTTTTATTAAAAATACCCTTAAATATGTGTAGAAAAAACATACAGATTAATACAAACATTATATGACTACAAATGTTTGTAGTGTTTGATGAATCGAACTCGCAGCCATTAAAAGTAAGGCGTACTGTACTATACTATTGACTAGACTGTACAATAGACTTGAGACTGTCATTTGCAAAAAATAAGGAAAAAAAACCTTGCTGCATTACTACGTGATTCACTCTCTGGTCATGGAAACTCTAATAATAAACCAGTAATCCGAGAGATAGCGGTAACCTGAAGATAGCGGGAACCTGTTTTGTGCAGATTTTTATTCTCTACAACTTTTATTTAAAATATTTTTTCATATTTCTTAACGTTATTGAGTTATTTAGAAAAAAAACATTTTTCAAATCTTTTATTATTTCTTTCATGCCTGACGGGAAGTCAACTTAAATTAAAGTTTCTTTTTGAATATTATTATTCATGTATTTGCGGACATATGTTTATATATTGCGCCAAAACTGGTCATATCATGTTTAATTCAAAATTTTACTGCACTAATGGTGTTTATTTAGTTTGTGTAAAATTAATTAAATTTGCAAGGTGTTGCACATTTTTTTAAATTCTTTTACTGTCTTAGATTGTTCATACGAATGAGTTAAAGATGGGTCCTTTCTTGTTGTGAAAATTGAGTTAATCAGTTACGTGTAATTCTAAAACAAGTTTGTTTACATAAAGAATATCTGACTATGTTGTGTGAAATCTTGCTTATCCTACGGACAAAATTTCACGGAGCTATTAGGGTACATTCATAATTATGGGACATTTTTTATAACTAATGCTTTAAAAAAAGTACCAAAGCATACTTAGCTTACATACAAAGCATACTTAAAAAAGATTTAAATGTCAAATAAAACAGTTCCTTTGCAAAAAATCTTACTATAAAATTGAAGAATTCGTTAACGATAATAATGTTTTTATAGTAAAACTTTAAATCCATAGCATTGACAATGTTATCTGATTACACTAATAATGAGTGCGTAGCGATTTCTATGTTGATTATCGTATGCCTCTTACTTGTTATACTGTAATTATTTATATAAAAAAAATCTATTAAAAAGAGCAACACACAAGTTTCTTGCTCATTCCTCTTGTGATGAATCTGCATTCCGAATGAGTGGTAGAATCAAAATATGACTATTCAAAAGTGCTTGTAATGAGTTTATTTGAATAAAGATTATTTCTATTCTATTCTATTCTATACTTATTCTTTCCTTTTATGCAATGACTCAAATTGACTAGTTCACATCACAGAAATGTTTCCTAACCAACGATTATGACGGGTGATATTGATGATAAATCGCAGGTGTCTTCCAATGAGTCAGTTTGTTGTTGCATATTTCAGACTGTTCGATAACTGATTGCACTGATATCTGGTGGAATATTAAATCCGTACTAATCCATATTAATACCTATTATAAATTTGAAAGTGTGTCATTATATGTCGCCTTTTTATCCCTAAACCACTGGACTAATGTCTATGATTTTCAAGTATTTTTGTGTTACCTTTTATTATTGTACTTAAACTTCTTTTTTTTTCGGACTACTCTAATGCTTTTGACTGCAGCTGGCCCCTTTACAGCTTTACCGGACGATAAGGGGCGAGTGCAGAAAGCAGAGCGGCTGAAGGCCAAGTCCCGCCTGTTGGATGTGACTTTAGTCTGAAGGCACCGCTAGGGGTGCGAATTTGGCTCAGGCGTCATAATTTCGATCCCCGTTTGAATTGGACGGTGGATCGATTGGAGGGGTCATGAATTTCTGCTAGAGAGAGACGGCACATATTAGTTTACTACCCTGAATTACGATCAAGAGACTCCAAATATGATCGACAAACAAAATTTTGTGTGTCAATTTATATTTGTAGCTCTTTGTATCGTTTAAGAAAACTTCGATATCTGTGGAGATATGCTACAGTGTAAATGCTGAGTGGGTGACACATTCAGCTTTACCAGTATGTTTTAGCTTTTAAGATATATAGTAAACATTATTGTAAATACGAATACTGATGTAATCCTTACTAATATTATAAATGTGAAAGTAACTCTGTCTGTCTGTCAAATTTTGTAAAAATGTTACACCTAAGGGGGTAAAATAAAATAGGGGATGAAAGATATTAGGTAATATCGTCATTTTTGAAGACAGATCTATTAAACTTTTTTCATTGGCTTTTTAAGTTAGTTTATTAAATACCCTACTAATATTCTTCGTCTGTCTGTCAGTCTCACTTACACGCCAAAACTACTGAACAGATTTATGTGAAATTTGGTACACAATTAGTCTAGATCTTGAGAAAGCACATAGGATACTTTTGGATGCGAAAAAATGGTTGCAAGGGGGTTGAAATGGTAGGTATAAGGTTGTACGTAAGAATTATCATTTTTAAAGGTAGAAGCTTGAAACTTATATTTTAGGCTGTTAAGTGATTATGAATAAATATGATTATCAAAGTTTTTAAAATTTTTAGCCTTAAGGGGGTAAAATAAAATAGGGGATGAAAGATTTTAGGTAAATTCGTATTTTTATAAGCCAGATCTATGAAACTTTTTCCATTGGTTTTTTTGGGTTAGTTTATAAAATACCCCACTAATATTATAACCGCGTAAAGTAACTTTATCTGTCTGTCTGTCAGTCTCACTTACACGCTAAAACTACTGAACCGATTTAAATGAAATTTGCGACAGTTAGTCTAGACCCTGAGAAAGGACATAGGCTACTTTTGAATGCGATAGAAGGGTTATAAGGGGTTGAAAGAGTTATGTATGGAAGTGTCGTCATTTTTGAAGATGAAACGATGAAACTTTTTCATTTGGCTTTTATTGGGTTAGGTCATTAAATATTTTTTTCATTACTTGGTCAAGGTCACTATTTTACGCGGACGATGTCGCGGGTACAGCTAGTGCTGAATAAATGTATTTATTATTATTATCTTAAAAAGTAATCTAAGAGATGACAGTAGGCTCGTTCCCTGCCAAGTTGGATTCAGATATGCCTAGCCAAATGAGGACATGTCAAGTGATGCGTTCACATTGACGTCTGCAATGGCTCTGTTGTGAAACCTCCTTGATTATACTTTTTATTTTTAAAACTAACATGTCATAAAATTTTGTTGATTCACTCGTCAGATTATTGTAAAGTGACATTATATTTTTTCCTTGATTTACTAATATTTTATTTCTTAATTTAATATATAATACTTATTGAGTAAGTCTACTTCACACTTCACAGTATCCCTGTTACTGTTGTTCTGGCATACCTAACAGATGTTTACAGAACAAAAGCACAGAACTAGTAGGTACATAAAAAAATAAAAGATATTGACATAAAAATATATTCATACAAAAAACAGCCTTATTACTAGAGCATGTTCAAATCAAACAATGTTCTTGTAGTCAGGGTCAGTCACAATATCGAAATTATAAGCTAAATACATGATTTGGATTACAGTACCATTTATTATGAAGCATATTATCATGCTAAGGGGCAGCGCGGAGTAGACAACTCTAACGTACGATTTACACAATAATGAACTAATATTTTATCATAATTAATTTGCTTTTGAGTTTACTTTAGTCCACCACAGTACGTCTGAGATGGTTACTCTAGAAACAACCAAACTTTAGTAATAAGCAATAATTGTTTGGGTTATGCTTACAAAATTCAGCTACTTATTGTAAATAGCCAACTGTTTTAGTTACTACTTAGAAATTTTGGTTTTTATTACTAAAATTTGGTAGTCACTTCTCAAACATTTTACACTGTGTTTAATTATATAATATTTTATGAATAATTTGATTCGACAGATTTATATGAACATAATATAATGTTATAATTTATCATTACATTTCATTATAATTATCATTTTCTGGTAACTGAACAATGAACACAGTATTATAGTATAACGGTAATTCTACAAGACTAATACATAAATCAAAAGTACAATTTTTACATACGTATGTATACGGCATCTTTATATCTATATCTGTACTTGTAAATATGGCAGTGAAACTTACGATACATATATATATGTAATAAAAATCACTTTTTTTCCATCTCCTTTTCAATAACGGAACAGGAAAAGATCATTAGACCATACAGCTTAGTCTACTTTTGTATATAAAAATTGAGATAACGTGCAATGTAAGTAACATTTATCGTAAGTTAATTTCGTAGGTTTTTTTTACGTAACTGGATAAACAAGCCGACGGCTTATGAAACCACAGGATATCACAATACAATGTGACGGTGGCATCTCATATACTGTCATTCTCGAGTTCGACAAAGTGTGACGTGTGTATTACAAAATATTGGGGGAGTCACAAAGTTCGTGTAAACATCATGTAGTCTAGAATCCCTAGGAGAGGTCTTTCATTTTGTTGTAACATCACATTTCAATTTAGTTTTAAAAAACCGAATTTTTTACTATTAAAATGTAGCTGTCACAGGGGCTGTGCCACAATTTTTGATCACCCCAAACTAGTCAGTTAACATATATTTAGACAGATGAATAATTACCATTAACCATCTCGTTTATTCACAAAAACGCCTGGCAAACCCGTTTCAACTATTGAAGTGTACGTCTCTTTTTTCCGAATACAACAACTAATTTAAATAAAAGTGACAAAAAACCTAGATTCAATTTAATTTTCTTTTATTTTATTTCTTTTTTTTCTTTATACGTTCATAAATAGTACGCAAGCTTGTTGCATAATAAAATAAAAAAATGCATCATCCGTTATTCTTTGGAGCAGAGGGGGCAAGCCAAGGTGCCCATGGGGTCCCAAGCCGGTAGGAGTTTTGGTTCTTGTTGGAACACTTGAAGTACTTCTGCTGGTACATATTTCTTGTCGACTGCCACCTGATAAAGAAGGGTATGAAATCAGTACCGTATTAGCCTAGTAGCAAGAGTGCGAGCGTGCGTACCTACGGGCCCCTCGCATTAAGGTTTACACTTTATTTCCGCCGCCCCATGTACCTTTATACCTTTCTAAAATAATATTTTTCCATTTGTAGTAAAGAAGGCCTTAAGTTAAAGAACCTGTCATCTATCTCTCACTCACGCGATAATATAGGTTTCGATAGGAATGACTTTCTATAGGCATTTATATATAAAGTATAAAACACCATGAGACAACAAGAGAATGTGTTTCGACTTTTATCCTCTGAAATCGAGTGACCGTCCTCTCTCTGGAATCTGCCGCCCTATTTATATATCCAGGGCTGGGCAATGTATAATGTTATTTAATATTAAACACTGTCAAAAAGTCCTTACCTCGAATACAAACTCCCTGAACCACGGCTCAGTGAGTAATAAATATCCCTTGTCATATTCTTTATCGCTATAGGAATTTTCTACGCGGAATTTCAACGGGTTTCCTTGTTCCTGAAATGTTAAATAAAGCGATATCAAGATATATTAATTTATTACATTTGTATATAATAAAACTGTCTTTGCGTTTATTTCGAGCTAGGCTAGGCCTTCGTGGAACCCGCGGAAGGACTTATGGAGCAGCTGAAGACCAACTCATGCCTGACGGATACAACTTTACTCTAAGGACACTACTAGGGGGTTCGAACGTTAGCTCAGGCCATCGCAATCAGCCCCGTTTGAATTGGACGGGGTCATAAGTAGCCCCCTATCAGTATATGTCTAGCAAAGCTCGGTTGTCCATATTTATATATAAAAATTACTAGTGACGTTCGCTGATTGTCCGCGATGGACTTTTAAACTACTGAACCGGTTCCAAATTTGATTTGCACATTGTGTGCAATTTGATCCAACTTGAAATATAGGAAGGATCACACTCAATTTATAGTCGCAATATTATTTTATTGAAAATTATTTTTATATCTAAAGAAACTGTTAGGCACAATAACGCGTGGCCGGGTCTGCTAATTTACTATAAATAGTACTATTGTGCCACTAACGTCAGTGCCGACGGCAGTGAAGACCATGGCGTGGGTCATGCACGAGTCGCCGTACAAGAGCCGGTCCGCCTTCTCCAGCCCGATCTGCACATCTGTGTTGAACACCAGCCGGTAGTCATGCCTGCATGATAAACAAACATTTACTACTTGATGGAGTTATATTATTTTGTTTAATTCCGTTACAATTGGCATGTGTGAGACTACAAATATTCGGTGTGGAAACTTGACTACCGTTACGACCTTCTCTAATGGCGATCAAATTCCGACCCATATTGCATCGGTGCAGACTCAATAACGGTCGGAATTAAACAAAACAATATAAATCCATCAAGTAGTGAAATAGACTCCGCAAAATAACAAGAAATTCGATTAAATAAACAAATATTTATTCAATTACCAGGGGGTAACGCCCCAAGTATGTATGTTTTGAGCTCTTTGAATTTTGTTTATGTTGGTAGCACTTGCAGAACCCCACAGCTGGAGCCCATACATTCAGATTGAGTTGGGGATTGTTTTGTACATGAGCAACTTATTGTCGAGTAGATGCTTTGAGTGTCTTCCATGCAGCCATTTTTTATAATGTGGCATTAAAAAAATACATACAACTCAAATTTTCACCCTTCTATCACCAACCTCTTTCTTCTAATAGCGTTTCTAATTTATATGGCAAAATAATGATTGTGGGGTCAGATAGTTTCTATATGAAATTTGATGTGGATTTAATATATCTTAGTACCACTATAATTATTAGTACCTACTAATATTATAAAGCTGAAGAGTTTGTTTGTTTGTTTGAACGCGCTAATCTCAGGAACTACTGGTTCGAATTGAAAAATTATTTTTGTGTTTGTCGAGGAAGGCTTTAAGCTATATAACATTACGCTACGACCAATAGAAGCGAAGCATCAGTGAAAAATATTGTAAAACCGAAGAAAGTTATTCATATTTGAGCTTCCGTCGCTAGCTCAACGCAAGAGCGAACGAAGTCGCGGGCACAGCTAGTCACTATATATATATGACTGCTGTGTGAATAAAATTAAAAATAATAGATGTCACTCACGCGTCTAGATCTTCGAGGCCACTCTTTCTCTCAAATCTCTTAGAGACTTCACATCCAAACCATACGGCTTCTCCGCCTTGAATGCTGTCTTTAACTGCCCTGAGGAAAATACAAATATACTGTTTGTAAATGTACTGTTTGACTTAGACATCTTGTATTCTAGAAATACAATCTATATTGAAGGTGTGTGTTATAAATATAAATAAATAAAGTAACCATTTATATATATAGCATTGTATTGTGTCTACACGGATCGAGTGTTGACAGAAATATTACAATATTTCTGTCAACACTCGAGATCCTCCATTCCCATCCCATCCCATTCCATCCCAGTAACTCTCCAGATAACATAGATTCATATTTAGTGTCAAGTCAGTCCACGTTACGACTCCGCGTCGAATTACGCGTTACTAATAAGCAGGGATGTTATGGATATGAAATTTCGGATACAGATAGGTTTCGGATATAGGAATGATTATTATACCGGATACGGATACGGATGCGGATATGAAATTATTTCGGATTATCCGTTAGTCTCGGATAATTTCGGTTACGGATATTATTTTTTTAAGGACTTTAAAAGTAAAATATAAGTAGCTATTAAAATGGTTACATAACGTGTCTCAATTAGGCTCCGCCACTATCCGATATTATCCGAAGCTTTTATTTCGGATTCGGTTACGGAGCTCCCTAACATCCCTGCTAATAAGCCACGTAGCAAGCACACTATCTAATAAACTTACTCATGTACAATAAATAATACAATTATTTCATCGGTATACTCACTACCTAAGTACAATTTTTCATTCCAATTACAGAAAACAAATTATAGATCAGTAATAAAGACAATTGACGACAATTGACAAGACGAAAATCATGTTAAAACGCTAGTGTCGTACCTGCGCCCGTAAAAATCAGAGATTCTACACTCGAAATTGTCGATCACACATACACTTAGGGCAAACTATCCAGGTTGGTCCAAGGTCCAATTTTGAAAAAGAGGTCATTCGTCAAATCAACTAGGATGGGAAGTTCCGGTATAACTTTTCGTCCGACTTTTATCAATTTATTGTCATATCTTCTAAAATCGCAAATATCAGCAGCTGATTTTTTTTGTATCTTGCTAATGAATAGTTAGACTGCATTAATGCTTGCATTAATACAAAAAGTAGCGGATGGTGTGACGTGGGTAACAGTCATAACTTTCAATGAAATTTTATGTTCTGTTTTAAGTACTTTCTCAAATATCTCAAAATTAAATGAAAATTAAAAAGATGTTTATATTAAAATTACCATCCTAAAAATGTAATACACTGCATATCTGTGCCTAATATTTTTTTCACAATATTGTTTTGAAACGTGAACACCCAAAGTCTTGAGTTTGGCTTCTTTGTCTTCAATGCACTTGTGACTATGAAAAATAGTATTATGTTGCGTATTCGGTAACAAAATCTTATTGAATATTATAACTTAACAATTTGAGTATTTATTTAAATCAAAATAGCACCCAGATTATGATATTCGTAAAAACCATTTACGATATGCTTTTGTTCTACCATTTTCCATAGTGCGTCGTAGAGATTTTTAGGGGAGGCCTTTGTTCAGCAGTGGATGTCTTCCGGACTGAAATAATGATGATGAATAAAGCAACGACAACTAACTTCATAAGCGTCTCGATGGGTTGATTGTTGTATGCAGTCTGCCGGCCACCGACCACATTGCCCAGGCATTGCAGTGTGTACAGGTTGCCGAACGGGTTGGATTGGCGTGGATCACTCACTAAACACACCTACGGACAAAACATACGTAATTAAATATAATCTAACAAGAAACATAAGAACAAAAAATAATACATATTTACCCGTGTGTTGTATCCCTTATTCTCGACACAATTTTTATTCTACTTTCTTGGGTAAATTATTGTATTATACTGTTTTAAACTTGACGCGGCCATTATTTATATATATAATTAGTAAAAACCACGAGATCTTACCACGTTTTATATTTATTTGCTGAGTTCCCGATGTGTTTCAACCACCATGATCACGGGTAAACTGATTACCCGTGATTTTTACTAATTATAAGTATAAATTATTGTATTCAATAATAAAAAATACAGGTATCCAGTAGACTTTTGCAAAGTCTACCCCGGTTTTACCTTATCATCGACGTTGAACAACGGTCGCACGTGTTTGTCGTAGAACTCCAACGGTGTAAGGGGTCCCAAATTATTGTAGGCCTTCTCTTTGTTGTAGAATTCGAATGTGAACTTCTCTGGTGGGGTTCCTGTTAGACACATATAATAAATATAAATTATAAGGTTAGTATCTGCGCGACCGCGCTTAGCTTGGAGATTTTATTACCAATATTATGTTTTTTTGAGAACATACAAATTTTTTATAATTTATAATTTTCATACCCCTAAGTGATAAGGGTTGTCCACCCTTAGCATTTTTTATATTTTGGACAACTATTTATAATAAGGCATCAAAAATACATATAATTCACCCTTCTATCACCAACCCCTATTTTTTAATAGCTATATTAATTTATGTGACAGAACAACATTTGTTGGATCGGTTAGCACATTTATATTTCAATCAGCTGTACCTAAGCAAGTTGCCACAATATTGTAAATGACTGCGATCTGTTTGCTAATTGTGTTTTGGATCTCTGCATCCGACGCATTGGCCTCGACTTTGTCTCGTAATTCCTTGGCGTATTCACGCAGCTGTGGAGTAATAACAGGTAAAGTTTAATATATTTGAATACACATAATCCTTATTTATATTTAGGGGGACAGGACCGTTGGCAATGTGGACTAATAGCCTTATTGCTAGCAATAGACCATGACAGGCAGACAAGAAACTAGTGTGTTGCTCTATGGAATAAATGTTTTTTTAATTTAATAATTACACAATAACAAGTAAGAGGCATGCGATAATCAATATAGAAACCGCTACGCACTTATTCTTTGTGCAATCAGATAATATTGTCAGCGTTATGAATTTTTTGTCGTCGCAGGCGGGTGGAACCCTATCATTTTATACGTGATAGTTACTTGTTACATCTTGTTTGTCATTCCAAGTATATAAAAATAAAAAAAAAACCTTAGTTTTAATGAGGGCGTTCATATGCAGACTCTTCCGTGAGCTGAACGACTCCGGGAAACACTTCTTAGGTATCACGCCATACTTGTTCACGAGGTTCACGATCATGTCCCATTGTCCTCCGTCGTTTATGGGATCCTGATTGAAAAAAAAAAAATTATAATACCCTTGGACTATGAGCACTCAACACAATGTCATCTAGTCCCCACAAGTCTACTCACAAGCTCTGCTTAACTTGGTACTAGATGGCACTGTGTGAGTTATGAGATTAAAAAAAAACTAATGATTGTCTTTTTTAAGGTACCTTATATTCACTGTCTCACTTTTTAACTAAGAGCTTACAAACCAAGCTGGTTGGTATACGTAGTGAAATACATGCTAGCTTGATTAACATTACAGTTACATAAAAAACATTTTTTAGTTTTTTGGTTATAGACCACTCATGCATAAACGATATATCTCCTTTGTAAAGTTTACTCTCGTAAAGTTACTACTCGCTCATTTTGTCCCTGATGGGCCTAGGCAGCGAACTCTACAACGGACGAGCACAATAGATCTATGCATGTCGCAGTGCTACAAGTCTAGTCTAACAAGTACGCCCAAACCCTTAATAAAAAAAATAAGATTTATCTTTAGGTTAATGAAAGGTACCTTGAGCAAAAAGTTGACTAATCTCCCTTCCAGCTTCTCACCCTGTTTCGCCGTGCTTACAATGTTATTGAGCCAGTAGTGGGACCGCTCAATCTTGTCCCAGAAGAAGAGATAGCTGAAATAATCATCTTTACATATAAAAATTACGTGTCACGGTGTTTGTCCGCGAAGGATTCCTAAACTACTGAACTTATTGCAAATTTGATTTGCACATTGTATGCAATTTGATCCAACTTGAAAGATAGGATAGTTTAAATCTAAATTTATAGTCGCAATATTATTTTATTCCAGAACCCTAGCCATAGCAGCGCGTGGCCGGGTCTGCTTGTAATAATATATGTTTACGTTGTCTGTGGATTTATGTTGTTGTTGATGGACCGTGTGAAAGATGATATGGCAAGAAAGGGAGTAAAAACATATTACAGCGTAAGATGTTTTTCTCCCCAAAGAAATGGGATAAAGAAGAAGCAGATGATGATATGTTTACAATGTCAAACTATTCGTTGAATAATCATTTGATCATCATCAATTATCAAGGGTGACGTTATTCAAGAACCTAGAAACTTATAAATGTATATTTGAGAATGTCATATAAACATTTGAAGATATATGAATTGTGAAGATAAGGAATTGAAGGAAATATAATATCAAAATATTATTTATTTATTTATTCATAACGATTAATTATTTTGTCGAATTTCAAAATAACAAATTAAATCTAAATTTAAAATAACAATGTCAAAATAATAATACCAATAACAATAAAATCAATAATAGTAATACCAATAATAATTTCCAAATTGAGCTACAGTAACGGTCATTCATCAAAAAATACGGAGTAAAAGCATTTTTAAAATAAATATTTTTTTACCGAAGACAATGGCTGTATAAACCGAGTCCTTTTGCCTTTCCCTGAGACGGGGAAAGGAATAAAAAATTAAGGATAATGATAAAACAGAATATAATCGTCTGTCATATCATTTAAAATTACCAGGATTTGATGCTAAGTGAATGTTATCAGATAAAAAGAATATAAATGTGTATCTTTTGATTGCAATATTAACAGCATATTTGTTATCTTATACGAACAAACAGTTCATTTAAAGGCACAGCATGAATGACAAACATAAGGGTATATAACACAACGTTATAACTTTATGTTTGACATTCATGCCTGATTGATGTATAAAAATATTTATCGCACAAAGCCAAAGTCCCAAGATAAGCAGAGCGTGCGTTATGGATTCTAGACAATATATATAGAAAACACCAAAAACGGAATATACATATAATTTAGTCCGACTGCGTTAAATGCGACGAAAACAAATTAACCCTAGACCCTAGCCGCTGTCGGTAGGCTTACCGCCTATATATTGAGAGATGTCCAATGCGAAATGTGTAAATGTCAAGCATTGCGCCCACCGCCATTGCTACATGCCTCCGACCACCCCATCTGTGGTAATAGTCTTAAAAGCATACCTACTTTTTTTTTCTCTTTATTTCTTTAGAAGCTTAGCACAATAGTGAGCATGTTAGCCATGTGTTGACTTCTTAATTAATTGCATTACATTTAAACTTTAATTACTATAAAGACAAATCTTACCTACTTTTATCTACAAATTTATAAATTAGTACCGATTGTTTTGATACAGGTTCTGATAAAATACTCTCAAAGATTCCTAAATTACCTACATTTTCGAAACAAATATTACTATCACAATGATAACACAGCCGCAGCCGTTAACAAAATAAATAAACGTTTATTACTACAGTAGGTAATAAACATACATTAGATTTGTTACGCGTGTGTCACATTGAAGTATATGCTATACAAAGTCATCTGCAGGGGTACTTCTGTCTAACTTATTAATATAAATACTCTCTGTTAACACCAGGTTGTCTGTAAGAGATTGTTGATAGCGATAAGACCACCTTTTGTAAAACATTTACTTTCATTGTTTTTTATTTCATTGTTATGTGCAATAAAGAGTTATTATTATTATTAAATATATGTTTTATATATCTCCCTGTATTATTATTATTATTTTAGCCGCCAAGCAGCTTGCTCTCTTATGGGTTTCAGTAGAAGGGTAAGAGGTACTGAAATAACCAGAATACGGAGAAATGGCATCTTAGTCCTCCAGAAGAAAACGCATCACGTGATAATGTGATATCTATATTCAAAGATATAGATGACGATTATCATTTACCGACAGATGGCCAGTCAGCTAGTTTGCCATTCCAATAAAAAAAATTGTTACCTTTGAGAAAATTCAAACTCTTCAATGCCATATTTCTTCATGAACGGCAGGCGCATGACATTCAGCGCAGCAAACAGCCAGCATCGACCAGAATTCTCTTGATTTGTTACCGGCTTCCCTTCAGATTCCACCTATTAAATAATATAATAATCATAATAACTCAGGACAATTTATACAGCACCATCTTCTTCCAGGCTAAGCAGAACTTGTTCCAGAGATTTGTATTGGTTAATTAAGTAATTCTTATAGTGTTTGATAGCATATTAATAAAAAAGACTGTGGACATTATACTATGACTAATATGAGCTGAGTGCTAGTGAAAAAGTTGTAAAAACACACACACATGTCTGTCACAGACACAGCCCTTCTATATGACAGAAAAAGTTTCTTGGATCAGCTAAAAAATATATACAGGGTGTCCCGTTGTACTTGAACAAAAAACAATAATAAAATTAAAAAAGAAATATAGTAAAATTTAATATTCAGTTTATGGATATAACTTAAACTACACAACCTAGGACTATAAATTTTAGTATTTGCGTTAGATAATTAGGTCTCACTACCCCCCATAACCCTTTGGTCTACTACTTATGGGACACTCTGTATATCTAAGAAATGCAAATTTATTTTCAAATAACACACATTAGGCCTGGATATCAAGATAGAGGTTTTTTATGTTTTTTAATGAACTGCAACATTATATTTCCTTATAACAGTTACCTTAATATTATAGTAGTGAAGAGAGCTGTCCACTCTTTTCTTGCTGATTGCCACCTCAAATGGGTCAAATCGTGTACAAACATTTTGTGCCAATTCATTTTTGGGGTCTGCGTAGAAATCGCTCCGGAATTTGTTCAGAGTGTCTAAGCTCAATGGTTCTAAAAACAAAAAAAAAGAAAGGTATCGGACACTAAAACAACTTTTTTTTATAATATCTAATGCAAAGGCCATACTTTGTTTCTAATAAAATCTAAATAATAAGTAATCATACACTGATTTTGGATACCAACCGGCCATGTAGATCTTTGACTGGTCTCCATTACTAAAATCCAGTTTGAATATTTTAAAAGGAACAAAAATTTTATATCTTTGTTTTAAAAATGCAACTCACTTTTGTGACAAGACACTACAAATTGAGAACAATATTTTATAAGATTTATTAATGTAACATTTAAGACAGTAGACTTATTTATTTTATTCATTTCATGATGAATAGAAACTATTTAAATATATGTAAAAAATACTGAAAATTTATAACAGTTGACAATATCAATACCATGACAGTGAAAACATCTTTATTTTTTAGTATTCCTTCTGGAACCAGTAAGCAAGTAGTCAGTAATTAGGGCAGTAAAAAAAATCAATATGTGCTGACCTTTTTGCTGTTAAAAGTAAAAATAACTTCTTTTGAGTGACTAGGCATATTTTGTTTTTCGTGACAACAGTTATTCACTATCGCGTATATATTCGACCTGTTTATTTTTAATTTTTAAAGTAAATAAGAATAGTAATTAGTTTACAAAAGAGTTTTTAATAACTAGAATTTAAGGTTATGTTTTAATTACACTATATTACACTATAGAACAATAAAACTATATAATTCTTACTTGATGACATGGCTGCAGAGGGTATTTCCAACAAATAAGGCGTCTTACACGACTTACGAACCGCTAAATATACTATTTTTATGAACATTTATTGTGCATTTATATTTATAAAATTGACGGCTGTCGGCGTTGAGATACAGTGATATGTTTGTCTCTCTTTGTCTCATTCAATATTTGATTTTAGTAAACGAAGTTCAGCACCGGTCATTGCCCTTGTATGAAGACCAGCTGATTGATATTTATATCTTAAATGAATCTAATGTAATATTATTTATACAATTTATATATTATATATATGAGTAAACAATTAATCAAAAGTAATTTGAGGTATTAAAATTTCTAAAAATGGTCCCTAATTTGAATGTTTAAGAACAACTGTTTTGTTGTGACATATTTGAGTTTTGTATTGGCAACACCAGCAATTTTTGGCGCCAATTTTTAATTTGTAATTTTTACGAATTAAGTTACGATAATATTTAATAGAATGCATAAAATAATTGATCGTTATCTGTTGACGGTAAAGAAAAATAACGGTGATATCACTTTCATTATTTGCCAATCAAAGAGAGATATCAGAATCAGAACAGAAGAGAATAAAATTTTAGTCACTTGTATCTTGGACATCAAAATCAATACTTTCAACAAGCTAAGCTAAGCTAACTATTCCTACAGTTACTAGCAGTTGTTCATTTGTAGGAAATAGATTTCTATTATCAATGCGTTTTAGTCTAGTGTTGTATGATTAATTAATGAGTCGACATCTTGAGAATACGTTCATTAGATGTATTTAAATACTCTGAAATCAACAAACCAGTGTTAGCAATAATGTCATTGAAGGCCTATGAAGATGCTTGTACAAGAGCGGAATTATTTGGTCAGCCAAAACCTGATAAGGAAGAATTTTTGGAGAAACATAAACATTTAGATGTGGTGGAATTCGAAGAAGTAGAAATTAAGACTGCTGAGGTGAGCAATTTAAATATTTTATTAAATAAAATAAAAATGAGTTTACTATTATAATTTTCTCTACTCCTTTGCCTGTATTTATAAAAAGTACTAAATATTGTTTTTATTGTGACAAAGTAAAGAATTGAAACAGCTGCATGTTACGAACGAAAAATCCCCATAAGTATTCCCGCAAATGTCTTACATAATATTAATTAATAAAGATTGTTACTTCCCATTCTTTATATTATTATGTCGTTATGTCCAATTTAATATATATTATTCATTGTATATTTTTTTATTAAATTAATTTAATTTTTTAAATTAATTATCAAAATTAAACAATGTATACATATTAATTATTCAAAGATCCTCTTAGAAACTTTAAACTTCTACCTAGGAACTAGTAGAACCAACAGTTATTGTTGAAATCGAATTAACTGATATTAAAAATAAATTAAAATTAGTAATTTATGAAATTTAATATTCAATTTGAATCTCTAAATTTTATATTAAAATAATTCTACGATTCTATTCTAATTAGTATAAGCTACACACATAGAAGACAATTCAACATCTCATATATTTTTTGGAGTGCTAAGGTATTCTACCTTTAGTTTGTAATAATTATTTGAAAGAAATATATATGCAATACTTTTTTTCAGAATACAGCAATGTTAGATGATCAAATGAAAGAAGCTACGGGTGGTCTCAGTGAATTAAATACTATTTTGGATTCAACTCAAACGAAGTTAAACAAGTTAAAGGTATGTATGCACCATTACATGAATTTAAGAAAATAACTAAATAATAATTATGAGTAGCGTTTTTTAATTTGGTATAATATATTTTCTAACAGAGGATAAAATCAAAGTATACAGTATTATGATACCAAAATTAATAAGAAAGTGTTGTTTGTTAGTTTTTTTATTGTAGAACAGTTTCAGTGCAAGTGTTGTAATGATACATTTTAAATATAAAGGATATAAAAAAAAGTAGCTTAACTATATCATCTGAGCCTTTTGACAAACATTAAGCATTGCAGTCTCATAATTTGCAATTAGAATTAAAATAATACTGCCACAATGACCATCCGAGTACAAAATCAGCAGACTAAGCATATCCACTTGAGGCGTGGTGTAAGACAAGGGGATATTATATCCCCTAAGTTATTTACAACCGCGCTGGAGGATATCTCTGGAATGCTGGACTGGAAAAATTACGACACCGGTCGCCATAAATGGAGCTCCTCTCGAAGTTGTTCAGGAGTATATTTATCTAGGGCAAACGCTCCAACTAGGTAAAAACAACTTTGAAAGGGAGGCCAAGAGACGAATACAGCTAGGCTGGGCAGCTTTTGGGACAGTTCGTCAAGTCTTCTCGTCGTCGCTACCACAAAGCCTTCAGACCAAGGTTTATAACCAGTGCGTTACGACTTACGATGCCGAAACATGGACACTGACGATACGACTGGTCCACCAACTCAAAGTCGCTCAACGAGCTATGGTTGGAGTTCTCTAAGGGATCAAATCCGAAACGAAGTAATTCGACTAAGGTCACCGACATTCTTTTCGTATTTGCAAGTCAAAGTGGCAGTGGGCCGGTCATATCTATCGCAGAACCGATGCTCGCTGGAGTATACGTGTTCTAGAGTGGAGACCGCGAATTTGCAAACGTAATGTAGGACGCCCCGCAGCTAGGTGGAGTGACGTCATAAGTAGGGTTCCGGTAGTAACTGGATGAGAAGGGCTGAAGATCGCGTGCCCAGTGGCGTGACTTGGGAGAAGCCTATGTCCAGCAGTGGACTGCTGTGGGCTGATGATGATTAAAATAATAACATCTTTCCCCTGTTACTTGTTACCCCATCAGTGTACATCGTACGCGCAAAAGGGTGCACCATTTCATATTAAACCATAAAAAGTTTATTATCTATTTATTTCAGGGAGTATGTGGCAGTCTCACAAATTTCTTCCGGTTGAAACTGACATCTCGAGATAACCTGTCATATTCTAGTGAACCCAGCTACGTAGGACAAACAAATTATGATAAAGATTATATACCAGCAACCACAGAGGTAATCTCTATTAACGAAGGCCTCGGTCCCAACGACAACGAAATGTCATTGCGCGCCAAAACTAATAAAAATGGCGGTCGTAGCCCGGGAAAATCGCAAAATGGCGGCGATATAAATTCTGCGCTTGAAACTTTGAATGAAATGCAAAAAAGTGAAGATAATTCTGTATTAAGTAAGGCGGCGTTTGCGGATGTAGGTAAGCAGATGACGTCACAGATGAGTAAGTTAGATCAGATGATTGGCCAAGCAGATAGAGCTCAGACATCTTTGAATCAGCAGAACAAACAAATGAGGTCCTTTCTTCGATAAAGTTGGTGTCATGAATATTGTACCTTCAATTATGCTCAACTTATGGCGTTGCGATACTTACAGCTGATATACATTTAAAGTTGTATACCTACTTCAAAATATTTTAAAAATGAATACTCGCGGGGATATAATAAGAGAATATGTTAATAGTTATACCTAAACTCGAAAATGAATCATCAGCAGTTTTTTAGTACAAATCTGTAGATGAACTTTTCAATGTCCTTAAGCGTAGTATCAATTCAACATTGAGATTCTACTGCAGTGTACAGGAATTGTCCCGTAAAATAAGGACCTACTTGACTACCATTACAAGCATGTTTCATATCCAGTTTGGATATTTCTTTCTCTTACTGCTGCAATGGGCTTTGTTCACTTTAAATAAGGCAAAAATATTTTCACGATGTTTGCGTCCATACTTAAGTATGTATTAGAGCATTTATAAGTATACAATAATATTTGTATTTATCATAATAATTTTATCTCAGTTGTACTGTAGAAAATGTTATATTAGTGACGGTCATTGTATGTGAATAAGCTTATATATAGTATCATAATGTGTAAGAAGGCGTATGAACATAAGAATGCACGTTTAGAACGAGAAATAATTCTCTAAATGTTAATTCATCGTTTATAACAGCAGAAGCGTTATGTTTTGAACTGGCTATATAAAGAAAAGTATGTATAAAATAAAATATAGTAAAATATGCTATTTGCCGAAACGTTGAGCACATGGAGTTTGGAAGCGAAATTGTTTTTAACAAGTATTTCAGAGCGGCTCATCGAGGTTTCTTATGACCCGCGAGCTGGTAGCTACTTTGCCCAGAGGTTATCAGGTTAAGTAAGGCCATTCAAAGAGGCATCGCTGCCAGTAACTTGGATACGCGGCTTCAACGTACCGCGTTGGATTATAATGATTGTTTTTTTTGTGAATTGTAAGTATATGTAATTATTTCTATACTCAAGTTATTCAACATAAATCTAAAGTTTAATTAGGACACGTCACACCCTACTAGGAGGTAGTCAGAGAAAGAAACGGCAAACCACTTGGTAATACAGTACAATTGGCGTTATTATGATTTTTATACGTCAGGCAGGAGCTAACTCCAAGGAAAAAAGGAGTTGACTTTTAGCCGCTCCATGAATCCTTCCGTGGGTTTGCACTTCTGAACTCAGTTCTCCATATTTTCGGCTGATAAAGGACAGATGCGGGGAACACTATTAAAAGTATCAATAGTTTGTTTGACAAGTACTTTGTCTACAAAAATAATAGGTTTCTTTTCGGCCTACTGTTGACCGCTGTTAGCCGGCCTTTACAGCTTCATTGGCGATAAGGGCGAGTGCAGATGGCATTCCAAACCCGCGGAAGAACTTATAGAACGGCTTAAGGCTAACTCCTGCCTGACGGATACGACTTCAGTCTGAGGGCACCGCTAGGGGTTCGAACCTCGGCTCAGGCCGTCGTAATTTCGTTCCCCATTTGAATCGGTCGGGGGATCTATTGGAGGGGAAAAATAATAGGTATATGTTAAATCTTATACCAACTATATATGGTATATATGAAGCTTAAGTAGTATTTATACCTAATTAATTAATTGGTAATGAATAACTTTGGTGCTTTGATAAAATATGATATAGGTACCTACAATCCATTGTTCGAGTGGGAAGAAATGTATGCTACCTATTGTTACTTGCAGACAATATTAATATAACTCGTTATCTCTTCTCTAAAGAATATATTTATAGCACTCTTAAATTACACAACGGGCTATGATAATTGATGTAATATTTGTAATCTAATATTTATTTATATTAATTAAGTATATTCTAGATTTTGTAGACAGAATACTCTTTGAGAATTCATGTATTTAAAAATGAGACTAACATAATTTATAAAATTAAAAACTTTTTAATAGGTTTTAGTAAAAATCACTATAAAATTATTAATAAAATAGTAGTACGTATATTATCACTATATGCTGCTATATAGAGTCCATTTTCGAATGGACTCCACGTTGGGAAACAGTTATCTAATTATATATTACAGTTTTCTTATTTGATTTCTTAAATCGCTATATTTATATATATATATAATATGTTAAGAAGAACTCTTATGTTTAATCTTCAATGACAATAAATTAGTTTAACTCTTAATAAAGACAGAATTTATAATATTTGGGAGTGCTATACATAAATTTCTTATCTATTTATAATTAATGTAAACTTTAAATCTTTTCTCTAGATGTATCTTGCTATCCTTAAATATTCAATGTTAATGCTTCCATTATGTATTGTTGTAACTAAATTTACCGCAAATTATTACACAATTGTGATATATTTTGGTGTGTAACACAAATTATGTATATTTTATGAGTTTCGGTGTATTATGAAATAAAGCTGTGATTTACTTGAAGTGTATCTTTATTTCATTCCGCAATAGTGTGATACATTCTTTAATAATTATCGGTGCTTTTACATACCTCATTTCAACAAGTTATTCACTTCTGAATTAATTTTAGGAACATGTCTAAAATAAATTCCTTAGAAAAAATATTCATTGTAAATAGTTAAATATTTTCTATGCATCAACACAGATTATATAAGTATCCTTTGCACTATACCATAGATTCGCAATAATTAGTCTCGTAATATTCTTAGAACAGCCTACTATTATGGAATTAATTAGAAAAATATTAGATACTTGAGTAGTACTTACATTAAAAATTTATATAAATTATTTGAATATTGATTTGATGGATTGAATTTTAGTTCAAAAAATGTGTAAAATATTTAATTATTCTATTGTTTACTTTCAAAAGATATTGTATTCTAGTTTAATTTTATACACAGTTCGTCTATTCTATTAAATCACATGTCTACAAACTGTTTAGTTAAACAAATTATAACACATAATTTTCGAAAGATATCAGGTATTTCACGGGACTGTGTGCGAACGAATTCGATATCCTGTTTCTCAGGAAATCTTTACTGTGCGGACATCTATATAACAAAAGGAAGTTATAGATTTATCTAAAATTTCGATAAATATGATGTGAGAACTATTTTATAACTCTTTCTTTATTCTCTAAACAGATAACTAGAAAATAGTCGGTCTTCCGTGTAGGGTGCTACATTTAAATAAAAAAAATTGAACACGATAGAACTTCCTGCTACGTAAAACGTGATATGGTGTCGACAATAACAAGGAAACTTTTAACGAGACTAATTTCCCTAAAGTTTCTTTCAATTATTTCAAAGATGTGTTTGACATTGGACCTGTCATGCATAACCACGGTCGAATAAAAACCGGGCGTGCGGACCGTGAAATCAATTCATATAAGAATCTGATTAGTGTTCCATGACCTATCATTATAGTTTCATCTCGACGAGCCGCAATGTTATTTGTACTAATTGTTTCTCATCTACTCGTACTGGCTGCTGCTAATCCATTTCATAAATATCCTTACGTCTTTCTATTAGACATTGGTAATGAAGAATTGGAAAAAACGAATTCGGAGCAGATTAGAGTGTCCATACCGGGAGGATCTCTAGCACTCAGGTATCCTGCAGTTGGAGATGGTGATCTTATAACTCATGTGAGAGTTAGTGGCATAGATTTTGGTACAGACTTGAAAGCTAATATAGTTGATGGTGGTCCAGGTTATAAATACATTGTTTTGGTATTCATGGGTAATACGGGAGTGCCTTATGACGCTGTAGTGACTATACAGACAGTATCGAATGATAATAGTGTCTTAAATAATAACGGAATAAGTATTAATAGTGTAGAGTCAACCAGTAAAGACAAGAATTCTTATGAGGTTTCAGAAGATGATCCAAATGATAGTTCAGAAGACTTAGATACTTTAGATGAAGATAACAAAATTAATCAAAACAGCAAAGCTGAATCAACGCAAGCAAGTTCTAGTTATTATAAATATGCACATGAAGAGAAAGTGAACACTGACTATAATGATGATGGAAACGATGATTATTCTGGATATCAACGTAATCCGATAGAACAAGAAGATAAACGCATAGAAAGTGATGACGAAGAAAACGAGATTGATGGGAGTAGTAGTAATGAAAATATTAATAGTCCCGAGACAGAATATAATTTAAATAGTGATACTGTACAAAAAGAAAATAATGATGAAGAATCTCAGTCAGTTAATAATGTAGATTATAGTAGATATAAATTTTTAAGGCCTTATGTATATGACGGTGTTAGAGTGTACCCGCAACAGGCAATTCAGTATATACCACAAGGAAATTCGAAAGATGCTTTCTTTGCTGATTCTCAGGATAATGCACAAGATATGAACGAGGAAGAAATACGAAATGAGGCAAGTAATTATAGGGATAACAATAATAATAATTATGATTCAGACGATAATTCTGCTGTAGCGTCTTAAAGTTAATATGCAAATCTGTAATACCATATTAATATTAAAGTAATACAGCAACAATTAATAATAAGTAGTTAAAATAATACATAACAGTTTAATAAAAATATTAGCTGATTTATTTGTTGAGTTATATTTAAATAAATAAATAAATCATCTGAATAATGTTAGATGACGTTAGTTAATGTTGTCAGATATCGTATTAATATTGCATAAGAATACCATATGTTTATTAACAAATAGAAAGAATGAATTCTTATAGTTTGGTAATAAAGGAAATTTAGTTGTATTAATTTATATTACAATTTTATTAAAATTAATAAATAGATTATATATTAGATAAAAATTAATTAAAATCAAACACTTTGCTTCCTTCTTCTTCCCGCCTTGTCGTCTTAATAATTGTAATGATCTGTGTTGTATCGTTTGCAACTAATTACTGTTATTATAGTTAATAGGGTAACTGATTGATAAGGGTTTCAAGCAGATCCCCTAGTTCCTACAATGTTGTAAGGACACTATATGGTAAAAGGTTCGCTCCATAGAGTGCGGTTCGTCAAATAAACGCAAATAATATAAAGTGGATAATATTGTACAATAAATAATGTAATAAAAATGTATTTTTTGTTTTTGTTTTTTTCGGATGGTACAATTATATATGTAATCAAGCTTTAGTAGTAAAACTAAAACTATATTTTTTTGTATAAATATATTTTTTGAATTCATCTCACTCTCCTGTCGTATTTGTCATAGCAATGTTGCTGGAATGTAATAAAAGTAATGAAATAATTATTATGTTCCACAAAATAAAATGAGACGGCTAATAACTTTTTTCTACCCAAAGGTTAGCTGGTAAAGAATACCATGTTGCATTAAGCTCGCCTTTTCTACAGGTTTTAGTGTACAATCAATAAAAAAAGTAACAAGGTTGTTATTACCCGTTTTTTATGTAATTTGAATGGCGAACAATTTACCGACCTACCTAATGGTAAACTGTATAGTCGCCTATCACTCATGCCTTGCCATTTCAGAAGACTAAGATGGTATGTTACCCATAATGTCACTGCCTAATTGCACCCAACAACGAAAGACTACATACATAACAAGGCTACGGCTGGAATATGTGAGAATGAAGTACCCATGCAGATGACTTATAACAGATTACCTCTGCAGTGTTTTTAAATCGATTGGGTCGATTAGCCCACTATAACAAAGTCATCAGGAATAGAATAGAATAGAATAGTAAATCATTTATTCAAATAAACTTAATTTAAGCACTTTTGAATAGTCATAACAGTTTGTTTTTTATCTACCACTCGTTTTAAAGCTGTCTCATCACAAGAAGAACGAGCAAGAAACTTGTGTGTTGCTCTTTTAAATAATCCTTGTAAGTTTACATTTACAAGTCGAAACGTGTGAATACAAACTACCAACCAGCACTATTTTTTTTGGGTCAAATATAACTATACAATAAGATTAAATCAGTCGTAGTGATAAGAGCAGACCAGTCCCTAAAAGCAGCACTCGTTCACGAGTATGACGGATGACCCAGCCATTACTGCGCTCAACCATATTTTAGACCGGCCCACCACGGCGCCACATGTTTGGACATTTTAGTGAGTATGACTACTCATTCGACTCGACCACGTCACAGCTAACAAAATTACTATATGGTAGTTACAGTATTCGCACTTTACTTGAGGATGCATGCGGCAATCAATACAAAAGCCGCTACGCTATCATATATCAAGAAAGCAGTATGAAAAATCGTCTATAAATTCATCTATCCTATAATAGGCTTTTTTACATAACATTTGTTTAATGTTAAATTTGAATTGCCTCTCTGTCAGATTTAGCGTAGATACTGGCAGTTTATTATAGAATCTTACGCAATTACCATAAAATGAATTACTAACTTTGTGTAGACGGCATTTAGGTAAAATTAGCTTATTTTTATTGCGTAAGTTTCTACTTGTACAGTCTTTAAATTTCTTGAAACTATCTAAGTTTTTCCTTGTATACATAATATTTTCATAAATGTACTGTGAGGAATAAACCACGATAGTCGACGTCTCGTGGGGTTGTATCTGACAGATTATACCTAATACACGTAATAGCAGTTATTATTAACATTAAAAGGGCTAAATATCGTGCCCAGTGGCGTGTCTTGGGAGAGGCCTATGTCCAGCAGAGGACTGTAATGGGCTGATGGTGACTGTTAGTGACTGATGGTGATGATGATGATTAACACTAATTCACATAACCAACAATCTATTCCTCCCATTTGTACGTGTTTATAATATCGTATCATGACTTATAACAGTTTGCATCAATCCCACATACCATAA